CATATTTATTCAACCCAAACCTGGTTGGTGTATCCATATACCCAACAGGAATCTACCTGGTTAGGTATGTTGCCATCCAGTTAAGTTCAACATCTACCAAGTTGGAGTTTCTCCTATTGGCTCTCTTCTGTGCATGGATTTGCACACTCATTTTCACCTTTGTACTTTAAAAATTTTAAGAACAATCATTAAGTACAGATCCCATTGGAACCCTTTTCAACAGTCTGAATTTGTTGATGAGAAGTTCAAATCATGCCCTGTGAAAATTACCATGTCCCTCCTAAAACATTTACAAATAAGATGCACACTTGAGCTGGAAATGTCTTAAATACAACACTAATTTTTATAAAAACAGCTCCAATGCTTATTAACACCCCCCCCCCAAAAAAAAGTGAAAAAAGAAAAAAAAAACCTCGTAAACAAAACAAAAAAACCCTTTCGATTTTAGGAAGTCACAATTCTCTTTCCTTATGGGCTGCTACTTTTTTCCAATAGCATTAATGCTGCTTTTTGTTATATTTTTTGCTCTCCGTTCCCTTTTAGGCCTCTGGGTTTCCCTGAAACTGCTGCCTGGTGATTTAGCTCAGGTTCAGAAGGATTTTTCTCATCTCATTGACAGATCAACAGCTGTTGCCCGCAAAATGGGATTCCCAGAGATTATATTGCCTGGTGAGTAATTCAATAGAAAACAAGAATGAGATTACATCTTTTAAAAAAAATAAATAGTTGAGTCCAGATGTCCTGCAAATGGTGGGCAATTCCTGCAGAAAAGAGTAAGATCGTATTCCAATTTCCAAGTTAGACAAAAAAATAGTGTTCTTATAATTCTTTATTTTAATTTGCAGGTGAAGTTCGGAATGATATCTACGTCACACTGATGCATGGAGAGTTTGACAAAGGGAAAAAGAAGACTCCTAAGAATGTTGAGGTTACCATGTCTGTTCATGATGAAGATGGAAACATTTTAGAGGTAAGAAGGGATTTCCAGAATAGTAAATTGGAGATAAACCAAAGAAATGCATAGATGTTCAGTATCTCTCCCCCAAAGTTGGGAATATTTTTGGATCTTCTTACCAATCCTTTGGACCAACTACAAAATCCTTAGAATGTGGATAATTTAGCAGGCCTGGGATCATCTGGTAATAGACGCTCCATGCACTGGCTGCATCATGTATAATATTCTGATGCATTCTCTTTGTGGCCTGGTGTTATTTCTATTGATCTGCGTCTTGTAGAATGTTTTCATTGTTAGTTTTATTGTATGCTGCCCAGAGTAAATTGGATAAAAAAGAAAAGAAAGAAATATTGTGCAGGAACTACTGCAAGTAGATGCTTTAATCAAAAGCTAGATAATCTAATAAAATACTTTCACTCACAGAATGCATGCTTTAACTCTCTTTTCCCCCACTCATGGATGTCTGGATCCCCCACCAGGTGTCTGGATTTGAGTTCTTTACCTTAACAGCTTCTGGGTTTTTTTTTTCTCCATTTATATCTGCATTCAAAATAAAAAGCACTAGTAAAACAGTTGAATGGTAACATACATTAAGAAAAACAGCAAGCTCAGAGAGTACCAAGGACCCTAGGCATTACATAATTTGAAAGCACTTCTACAATTTGTGGAATATTTTGGCCCCTCTTTGGAAGTTATGTGAAAACTTTCTTTTATAACTGAAAGTTTTTCTCTCCTGTCACTGATTAAGTCTCATTTTCTGTCACTTGTTCCTTTTGTTTTTTTGTTTCCAATGTGCTCCAAAGAAAGCTATCCATCCGGGTGCTGGTTATGAAGGTATTTCAGAATACAAATCAGTTGTCTACTACCAAGTTAAGCAACCTTGCTGGTATGAAACTGTAAAGGTGAGATTATCTAATGGGAAATTGACTTGGTTAGGACACATCATTCTTATTAGACACGAGTTGCATATTTCATACACAAGTTAGCAATCTCATTTATCTTAACATGGGATTTTTGTGCAGCCAAACAAACAACATTTAGATGTAAGAAGAGCTTGGAGGAGTTCAAATATTTGGAAAAGTACAACAAAATTAAAGAGAGTGAAGCAGTTGCAAACATGTTCAGTAGACGTTGGAATGTTAGTTTATTATTAGAGTAGGAAAAGCATGAAAACTGAAATGGATGTATCCTTGAAGAGGGAATGACATCAGATATCTTATAAAATATGGAATTTCACTTGTAATAGCCTAGAGAAAAGTCATAAACAGAACATAGAATAATAGGGTTGGAAGGAATCTTGGAGGTCTTCAGGGGTCTCCAACCTTGTCAACTTTAAGACTTGTGGACTTCAACTCCCAGAATTTTTCAACCAGCAAAGCTGAAGTTGAAGTCCACAAGTCTTAAAGTTGACAAGGTTGGAGACCCTAGTCTAGTCTGTCTCCTGCCCATGGCAGGAGATCATATACTTTATTTTCAGTATACCATGTAGAGAAACCTACCAAACTTTTGGTAATAACCTTGAATAGAAACAATTAAATTCAAGAAAAATCCAGATTCAAACTTCTGTATAATAAAATACTCTGCCAAGAAATTTATAACAAATCAGCCTGTAGTGAATTTGTGCCCACCTAAATGTATGACCTCTTTTAAAATATCCTTTATATAGGTCACTAAGATTTAAAAAAATGACTGGGTTTTTTTTCTACTGAGGTAAAATTAATTTTCTTTAAGTTGGTCTTCTGTTTATATCCCATATGTTTTGTAATGGGGGAAAAAGTATGTCCTGAATTCCTGATGTTAAAAAGACTATGACTTAAGAAATGGTTATGGTCAAGTCAATTTGGCTATCTTTTTTTAAAGTTGGAAATCACATCCTGCATTTAAACAGAATGGCTTCAGATTGGTGTAAATCACTAATATCTAGAGAACAATCTCCCACAAATCTTGTCGAGTTTTTAGCAGGCAATTTAAAATGTGCAACAGTCAGTTTTAAAAGTTCCAAGTATAATTAGGCAAGTATTTTAATGGAGGAGTTAATTGAAATTCCATAGCTGAAAACCTAGGCTGGGGGGTTAGGGGAGTGAGACTTTTTTTTTAACCTAAGGATCTAACAGATTTGGTTTTTCTGGTTGGCGTAGAAACATTTATCCTTCATTCATACAAACCTTGAATACTGCATAAAAAACATTCATATTTAAGGGAAAAGTGTGTCAGGTTTATTATACAGGAAATACATACTAAGGGAAACTAATAAAAATATATACATCAGGCAGATGTACACACTCATCTACAGGTAGTCCTTGAGTTGTGACCACAACTGAGATCAGAATTTCTGTTTGTAAGCAAGGCAATTGTAACATGAGTTATGCCAATTTTACACCTTTTTTTTAGCAATAGCACTTAGATTTATATACTGTTTCAGAGTGCTTTACAGCCTTCTCTAAGCGGTTTACAGAGTCAGCCTATTGCCTCCAACAATTTGGGTCCTCATTTTACCTACCTCAAAAGGATAGAAGGCTAAGTCAACCTTGAGCCAATTAGGATCGAACTGCTGGCAGTGAGCAGTGAGTGAGCCTGCAATACTGCATTCTAACCACTGCGCCAACATGGCTCTTTTTTCCATGTTTGTTAAGCTAATCACCTCAGTTCTTAAATCAATCATAGCCATCAAACAAATCTGAATTTCTCAAACAACTGTGTTTGTTGGAAGCCAGCTAGTAAGGTCACAAATGATAATCACATAACCCCAGGACACTGCAACCATCGTAAATACATACCAGTTTCCAAACAGTGATCAAATTTTGATCCCTGACTATGGGGATGCTGCAACGGTTGTAAGCACAAGAACTGGTCATAAGTCACTTTTTCATTGTTGTTGTAACTTTGAACCATCGCTAAATAAATAGTTGTAAGTTGAGAATTACATGCATGTTAAACAAAAATGCATATGGATTTATAAAATGATGAGGAAATGCTACCAAATAAACAGGGGTGGAAAAACTGTGAAACTGAGAGTCATCTGAATTCTATACACTTTGTTATTTGCAATGCTTGTTACTGTTCATCATTTCTATAAAATTATTACTTATTTTCTTATCACATACAGGTCTCCATAGAAATAAAAGAGGTGGGCCGCTACCATTTAAGATTTACATTCCGTCACCGTTCATCACAGGAATGTAAGCATGAAAGAAAGAATGACAATATTTGTTTGATTTAGAAGCACAAAAGGGTTTGGAGGGAAAGCAAAGATTGCGAGCTTTGGATTATTCTTTACCTTTCCACCACAAATTGTACTTTTCTGAACCATTTGTTTGCAAATGTCTGTAGAGAATCTCAGTCATCTAGGTCATGGTTGTCTCAAAGTTGTTTTCCCAAAAGGCAACCGGACTTTCTCAATTTTTTTCCTTGAAAATGTTTCACTTCTCCTCCAAGAAGCTTCTTTAATTCTGAGAACTGAAGAAGCTTCTAGGCTGAGAAGCAAAATGTTTTCAAGGGGGAAAAAAACAAGAAAGTCCAGTTGCCTTTTGGAGAAGCACCTCTGGGACAAAGAAATTCTTTATTTAACAAAAGCAACCACCAACCTAATTTGGCTCCCTGTATGGGTGCACAACTTTGTTAAATCCTGAGATGATGTCAGCACATCTTTAAAAAATAAATCAAATCATGTGTCTCAATTTTGATTAAAAGAAGAAAATTACAATTTCCAAATACTTATGGTGTGAAATTGCATCTGGCTGTTCTCTTTGAAATCCCTCAAATCAGCTAAGAGTTCCGAAGATGCTCACCCTATTTTTTTTTTTATCAAAACTCTCTTTGAATAGACAGACATAATGCCTTACAGCATCAACCCTTCTAATTTGGCATTTAACTTACAAAGGCCTTTCCTTGGTGCAACCAAAATAGTATTATCCACACAAGGGAGAAATATTTAGAGGTTCACATGAGTAAACATTACATCAGAAAAAGCAATAATCAATTGAGATGAGGATGTCCACTAGCCACAGCTGCCACTCTGCACAAAAGGAAAAATCTAAAATAAATAAATAAAAGGGAAAGGAATCCCTGCAGATTTTACTCTGCTAGTCATTGCTGACTTTAGGGGGCAGTGTTCATCTCCATTTCAAGGCCATTGAGCCGTCACTGTCCGAAGACATTTCTACTGTCAAGTGTCCGACATGACAACACAGAGCACTGTAAGCTTCTCACCAAAATGGTACGGTACCTATTTATCTACTCTCATTTGCATGCTTTCAAACTGTTAGATTGGCAGAGGCTGGGGCAAGGAAGGGAGCTCACACTCTCACATGGCACTCAGGTCTCGAACCTGGGCTCCCGACTTTCCAGCGGACAACCCAGCATCTTAACCACTGAGCCACTGCGCTACCCCTAAATTAAATAACTACAGATGCATAAATATTTATGATGATTTTTGCAAAGGGACAGTGAAAAAGCATTTTAGAAATTACCTAAATAGAAGCAGATTACAATACGGTTTTGTAGCTTCATGTCAATGAAGATAGAATCGTCACCACTGCCCTAATGCCTTTTGTGCAGGAGAAAATATCTGCCATAAAATTGCTGGGTGCATCATGCAGTGGAAAAAGAAAAAAAGCACTAGCAAGAGATTTCTACTGATGTTTGTTTCTCTGCAGCAAGAGATAAATCTGAACGGGCTTTTGGGATGGCCTTTCTGAAGCTGATGAACGTAGATGGCACCACTCTGCAGGATGGCAGGCATAATTTAGTAGTCTACAAGGTGTGGTTCTATTCGTTTTATTTATTTATTTACTTGTTTACTTATCCTAGAAGATCTTGATTCTTTAATCCATTCATATCTCTGTGTGAGAGACAGGCTGCCTACAAAATAGCCAACCCCTAGACTGCTTGTACCCTGTCTATTTAAGATCCCTTCTTGGCTAGCCCAGCAATGCTCAACTTTTCTATGGCTATAAAAGTTGAGCAGAGAGGCAGCTGGGGGTGACAGTGTTGGAGTGATGGTGTTAGTGTTTGGGGTGGGTGGGAAAGAGGTGTGTGGTTTCATAAAACAGTCTGAACCTGCCTAAAAGCAAATAGAAAGAGATTTTGTTCTCCAGCAACAGGACTCATAAGAAGTAGAAGTCAGAGGAGCAGTAGGTGGAGTAGGACTGGGAAAAAGTGGAGTAGTGATCAGTGTTGTACTAGCCTTGAATGCTTGTCTGTCTGTTGCATAAGGACCTGTACGATTGTGTTGCTTCCCTTGAGTTTCGGAGTTCACTGACTTGGGTATATGTAAAAGAAACCATGACACCCCTTTTTACACTCTCCTACCTTCGAAAAATAGCAATAGCAATAACACTTAGATTTATATACCGTTTCATAGTTATTTACAGCAGTTTATACAGTCAGCCTATTCTTCTTCTTGTGCCGTATCCATCATCGCACGTTGGTGATCATGTTGGCGATCCTATTTTTATCAACAGCCGCACCAAAAAGTGCTGTTGAGTTTTGTCCAAACCAGTCCCTTTGGTGTTGAAACCATAATGTTCTTCTTCTGTCTGGACCTCGTTTGCCTTCAATCTTTCCCTAGAGGATTAAGTGAAGGATGCCGTATTTTTCAGGGTGTCGCATCCCATGTCCAAAATATTCTAACTTTCGCTTTTTTATTGTTTTGATGATTTCCCTTGGCTTTCCCAGGTGGCTTATCACCTCCTCGTCTTTGATTCTGTCAACCCAGTTTATAAATCTGGCTCCTCATTTTACCCACCTCGGAAGATGGAAAGCTAAGTCAACCTTGAGCTGGTTAGGATCGAACCCCTGAAAGTGAACAGTGAGAGTTAGTCTGAAATACTGCATTCTAACCACTGTGCCACCACGACCCTTGCCATTGATCCTGGACTATTAATGGTTAATACTCAATACCGTTAATAATTCATGCTGTTTTTGGTGTCCCTTGTTTCCTGTTGTCAGGGTGAGAACAAAAAAATGGAAGATGCTAAGTTTTACTTGACACTTCCCAGCACCAAGATGGAGGTGGAAGACAGAGATGGAGTTGTATCCAAGCAACACACAGCCAATTTTACTCTGAATAAAGATAGCACCAAGGACAGCTTTCAGATTGCAACACTCATTTGCTCGACAAAACTGACACAGAATGGTAGGTTCCACTGTGGGCAAATTGGAAAAATGGTAGGCAAGTTGTGATTAGACTTCTTGAACTCTCCTATGAAACCACTATAACAAAATTGGGTGTAGCCATTGCTCTCTGTATTTTCTGTAATTCTGGCCATACGTTTTTCGAAGCGGTGACCGCCGCTACACCTTGTGGCAGCTAATTTCATTTTTAGTGTTGTGCTGTGCAAACATCTACTTTTTGTTATTCTGGAATATTATATGCTTTGGGGTTATTGAATAATCACTGTTTGAATTATGGACACAAAGGGAAAAAGTTCCATCCCATTTTTTTCCCCCAGAAATTGTGTATATCACCATCAAGATGGGGGGCTATATGCATTAAAGCCTTGGACAGGGTTTCCCAAATTTTGATTTTACTGCATGTTATAAAGTAAATGATGTTCCAAGGAGACTCACTTTGGGCACTTTTTACTTCTTTCTGAAATTAAATATAGCATATCTGTTTTGATGGGTTAAATCATTTACGAATGCCATATTTCTTATTCAGACTGAGGGAGAAATCTTATGCAGTTAGTAGAATATTCAGCCATGTCTATCCTTCTGGGTATAAACAGAAAGTCTACGTCACTTTTTGTCTTCTGAGACTTGACTTAATCTTCCCTGATTACCTCATGCCTATCTTCTCTGTCCCCCAAGCTTTGCTGGCTGAGGAACTCTGGGAGTTGAAGTCCACAACTCTTAAAGTTGCCAAGGTTGGAGACCCCTGTTCTAAAACAATCCAAAGTCGTATCCCAAAGATGCTTTCTCATCCAAGAAGCTTCTTCACCTCTGAAGCTTGAACCCCGAAGAGCTGAAGAAGCTTCTTAGATGAGAAACGAAACGTCTTCAAAGAAAACCAGAAAGTCCAGTTGCCTCTTGAAAAAGCACCTTTGGGACAACCATGGCCTGGATGTCTGAGAATCTCCATAGACATTTAGCAATCTAAAGTGGCGATTTTCAGAAAAATGAATTCTGGTTTCCAGCAACAAACTACGTATCTCTTTTCCAAAAATGTTGTTCAATACCAGAAAACAAGTCTCTTGTGGGTACTTCTTAAATAAGACCATTGCTGGACCTCAGATACCTGTTCCTTATTGTGGTCTGACTTTTGCTACTTTGCCTTTGCCAGTTGACTTGCTAGGATTGTTGAATTGGCGTTCAAACTCTCAGAATATAGGACACAACCTGAAGAAGCTGATGGACGTGGAAGGAGGAGAAATTGTTAAGGTACAAAGGGGCCACATGGCAGCAAACCTTTGGGATGGGCAAGTCTTTTAAGGACCAGAGTCCCATTTAAAATATTTTGGGAAAACAAGATGAAATAAAGTATGTACTCTCTTATTTTGGAGGAAAAATGTAGTATTTTTCTTGGCCAAGCCTATTTTCATCCCACAAATTTATCTATGTTACTCATATCAAAACACCACTTTTTCAGTATTGATGTGATATTTCTCTAGTATCAATCGTGACTGGAAAAAAGGAACAATAATCCTTGAGCTCAAATTATTAAAATTGATTAGGAAAAAGATTGAAGAGATAAGGCAAGATGTCCAGCAGGTAACTTGAATTTTTTCTTTATTTTCAACTCCCTTCTTATTCCTTTTTCTAGTTTCTACAAGATACACTTGATGCACTTTTCAGTATAATGATGGAGATGTCTGACAATGAATCCTATGATTTTCTTGTATTTGATGCATTGGTAAGTTTTCTGTCTTATCTGGATGCCCCTCGTCATGTCTTTATTAACCAGTAGTAGCATAGTGTCGATTCTTTGATGCCTTTCATTGATAGACACTCAAGGGCACTATCCATCAAACTTTCCCTAATTTTAGGCCATTAAAACAATCTTGCCATTCAATCTGAGATTGAACTGCTAGGAAGAGTGATTAGGCCAAAGTTACTCAGTGAGAATGAATGGGATTTGAATCTAGAGCACATTTGCTCAAATCCAATTTCCAGCCACTTCACTACACTGCCCATCTTTGTTTCTCATTCTCAACTTTAAGATGTGTGGACTTCAACTCCCAGAATTTCCTAGATAATATGGTTGAGATCTATGTGAGAAAGATAGATTTGATCCAGTCTCCAAATTTTTCTGCATCCTCAGATGAAGTAATTAAGAGACTTTAGTATTGTGGATATTTGAATAACCTATCAGTAATTTGAGGATGGATTTATAAAGGACGTCACTAACAAATTAGGAACTTATACTTTCTTGAACTACAGTATAGGGCCAATCAGTTCCATTCTCCTCTGTGAAAACAAACTGGTAATTATGATCCAATAGGACATGTTTTCTCTTTCAGTCCACCCCATTTCAGAGGACTGTGAGAATAAAATAAGTAGAATTCCCATATAAGCTGCCTGGGGCCCCTGGAAAAAGGGTGGGCTGTAAAATCTAGATGGTGGTGATGATGATGAGGATGATGATAATGATGAAGAAAAATGGGTAGATTAAGCTGTCAAGAGTATTATTGGGAAAGGGGGATGGTTCACCACTTCTATAATGCTTACACTTGGTATTGTGCAACCACACAAACATTTATTCCCCAAACATTTAGGCATGAGAACTATGCCTCAAAATGCATATCGCAACAAGTTAAGGCAGCTTACTCTTTGCACACTGGATTTCTCAGTGTTACTATTGCTCAAGGCACCAATACAGAATTGTAGGAACTCCTAAATAATCCTGAATCCAGCTGCTTCAGGCGGTTCAGAAAGGATAAAACCCTTCATTCTTGGCACTGAGAGAAATGAAATCAAAATCAAATATAGCATACCTTTTTTTGCTGGGTTAAATCATTTATGAATACTATTTTTTTCTTTTTGTAATTAGGTATTTATTATTTCCCTGATTGGAGATATCAAGTTTCAGCATTTTAATCCTGTACTGGAAACCTACATTTATAAACACTTTAGCGCCACCTTGGCCTATGTGTAAGTATAGTGTTTCATGAATGGCTATACTTTGTACCCCAGCAAGAGTCATTTAGTGCTTAGCATTCTTCCAGGCTCTTGATAAAGAAGTTATAATGTTCTTATAGGCGAAGGATCTTTTACAAATGCATTTACACTGAATGCAAAGTAACCTTACTTATGGTGAACAAACAATATTTATTCAAATTTATTCCTCTGATCCTTGTACCCTCCACTTTGAATGCCCTTTGGGATGGAAAGGTAAGAGAATAATCGTGAAAAGTAAAGAGGTGGTGTAAATGCAAGGATTGCTTTGCAACACCCTTCCTTCATGCCTTTTTGAAGACCTGCACCCAGTGAATGATTTCTTAGCCACTCCCAATAAAGCTTGATTCTCCCTCTGCCAAATAAATATTTGTTGATGTTCTAGTTTTAAGTTCCACATGGTGACTTGCCTGCCCAATGAGAATGTTGCTATTATTCACCTGTAATCTATCTAGCCTTTTAAATAATATGGATCCAGGGTAGTACCAAGGAGATAAGGAAAAAGTAGCCAAGTTCTGATACTGCATTTATAATTTCTCTTTGTCTTTCTCTCTTTCTCATTAGAAAACTCACCAAGGTTCTGAATTTCTATGTTGGAAATGCAGATGATTCTACTAAGACTGATTTACTTTTTGCTGCTCTGAAAGCTTTGAAGTACCTCTTCAGGTTCATAGTACAGTCGAGAGTTCTTTACTTAGGGTAAGTGAGAAAACCAGAACAACCCAACAGCTTCCATTCAAATGTTTCCTTTCAGCTACGAGGCAACCATTATTAATTTGGATAAAAAGGTAAAAGAAGATCAAGGGTTCCCTATCCAGTTGTGTATGACTTTAGGATAAGGGTGTCAAACTCAAGGCTTAAATCTGGCCCATGGGGTCGGCCTGAAATTGCAAAGGACTGGTCCAAGGCGGCTCTGGTAGCCAAAACGGGGCACAGGGACCGCATGCATCCTCTCGTGCTCCAGTTTTGGCCTGGACGGCCTCCTGCAGCACTCTGCCAGCCAAAATTGGGTGCGAGCAGGCCCTCTGTACTCTGTTTTGGCTAGCAAAATGCTGCAGGAGGCCATCCAGGCCAAAAATGGGGTGTGAGGGTCCCACATGTGGCCCTCACACCCTGTTTTGGCTGGCAAAGTGTCCGTCCCGTGTCCAATCCCCATCCACACTCTTGGCCTGTAGAAGAGAACCACAATGCGGATCCGGCCCTCTGTGGCACACAGAATGCTGTTACCTTTTTACCAAAGTGCTACCTATTTATCTACTTGCATTTGCATGCTTTCAAACTGCTAGATGGGCAGAGCTAGGGCAAGAACAGGAGCTCACCCTGTCCCGGGGTGCTTGGATCACGAACGGACAACCTTCTGGTCAACAAGCCCAGAGATTTAACTGCTATTGTGGGCCATTGTGATACCCTCTCCCCATTAATTTGGATGCTCTGGCTATATTATTCAAATGGAGAAATGCATGCTGGATCGATGAAGGATGCAAATTTTATGCCAAATTTGATTTTACCACTCAATTTAACAATTTTTATTATTACTGCTATTGCTTTGGGGTCTAAAAGTAGGCTTAACAGTGCATGATTACGGTCAACAATTGGGAGATATAGAAAACACGGAATGGTTCAGCATGAATTGAGGTGGTTGAGGACCAGTCCTATCATTACTTTGCATGACAAATGGCTGCTTGAGCCAAGTGACATTGGCCATCATTGAAAGGGAAGGGTATTATTTAATATATAGTCACTGAATCATTACAGCTGCAGAGACTGAGGAGATACTTTAAGGATTATTTTCATGCCTTCCATCACTTTCAGTTTCACGACTCTGGCAACTAAAATAAATCAGCAGTGCAGAAATAAATAGCTGGGACCTGCAAGTAGATATTCTTACTCTTTAAATGTGCCAACCTATGAGTTGGCACATTTTTAAATTATATAAATGGATTTGATACACTGTCTTTGTATCAGCATAATTTCTCCAAAACATGATTAGAATAGGGCCAAATCAGGTATGGAGAGAAGCCAGTAAAAGAAGAATCAAGATCAAAATTAGACCAGATTAACTTGAAATCTATAAAGGAGGGGGACACCCACTCATGCATCCCCAATTCCCTGAGAGCATCCCTATGGAGAAGGCAGTTGAACTGCAGTTTGGATGTCAGTAACTGCTGTATTCTAAATCCCATTCTCTAATGTGACCCAGAGTTCAGCTTATGCAACCTTTCCTATTCTTCCAGCGTCACTTATACTGAGAAACATTTAACCTCTGCTGGTGAAGGGGTCAAAAGGATTTTCAAAAGTCATGCTCTGCATACTTTCTTAGCCCCCCCCTTTTTTTGCAGATTTTATGGCAAAAGTGAAGATGGGGATGAGTTTAACAATGCCATTCGCAAGCTATTCCTCTCCTTTAATGTCCTCATGGATAGACCGCTCGAAGAAGCAGTCAAAATCAAGGTGGGTTCAAACCCCTTGTCTGAATTTATTGTGATAGTTGTGATAGGGACAGTTCTGCTCTTGGGGTGAAGGAAAAGGGGAGTTGCTTCAGGCAGCAGGTTAGGATGCAAGGGGAAAAAAGAGCCCAGGTCTCCCTGTATTGTTTTGCTTGGATCTACTTAGAACAGCCATTCCACTGCAATTAAGACATATGGGTCTCTGTAGCCTCTTAACAACATAGTCAGTTGTTCCAGATGGGACACTCTGAAGGGATCTCCAGAGGAACACTAAGGAAGCATTGCTATAGAATTTGTTTTTAGAAGCAGACCCAAAGTTTACAAGACCAGTAGCCTGAATTCCTACCCTTGATCTAATTCATTCTTAGAGCCTTCTCCACCCATGGATATCTCCAGTATGTTGGTCTTATACAAATCTCAGAATTCTCAGTCGATAGGACCATACTCCTAGAAGTTCTGAGGGTTGAGGTTCTTAAGTATTTCAGGGCTGAGAAAGCCAGGTCCAGGTTTTACAAAAAGTAGGAACCTTTTGAGTTCATAGAATTCTCATCAGGGTCTGTGTGGCAGAAAAGTTCACACATCTAAAGAATCCTTTATTTGAGAATCATTTCTTTAGAATGGAGACCTCAACCTTAATTTGCCTTCTTTTTGCCTGTTCCAGGGTGCTGCCTTGAAGTATTTGCCAAGCATTATTAATGATGTCAAGCTAGTCTTTGATCCAGTGGAACTCAGGTACTATATTTCCCACCCTTTTATCTATGACAAGTAGATATCAAATTAAATGAGTTGCTGCAAACAGCTCAAGAAAACAGTTATGTCGTACTGTATTTTTCTTTTCTTATTGGAGGGGAATGGCACAAAGTTTTGGAAATGGGAAGATAAAATTGAGTCAGGAATCCCTATGAACAAGGGCATCCATGGGGAGAGGGGACAAAGAGAAACAAGTGACAAGTGCATCATGACATCATGGTGCAAAGGATTACAACTTACATACTTTGGCCACCAAATCAGAAGAGATGATTCATTGGAAAAGACTGTGATGTTGAGAAAGATTGAAGGCAAAAGGAGAAGGGGATGGCTGAGGATGAGAAGATTAGATAGTGTCATCAACACAATGAATGTGAATTTGGGCAAACTCTGGGTGACCGTGGAGACAGGGAAGTCTAACATGGTGTGGTCCATGGGGTCACCAAGAGTCAGGCTTGACTTGGCAACTGAACAACAACGATGTATTTACATCAGATATCATGACATCACAATTCCACCATTTGTGTGACAATACCACGATGCACGTTATTCCATTACATTACCCTGCAAAGTGATTTTACAAATGTGACACGTTTTACAAATGTGTCTGCCTTCTATAATTTAACTAAACCAGTGTCCAGAATATTAATGGAATATTTCCATCCCCATTCCCTTTCTACCCCCATTCAGTGTCCTTTTTAGCAAATTTATTCAAAGCATCCCTGATAATCAGCTTGTCCGTCAGAAGCTCAATTGTATGACCAAGATTGTGGACAGTGACCTCTTTCGTCAGTCTGGTGAGTTAGGTCTTGTTCTCTTTTTCTCTTTCTCTCTCTTTCTCATTTTCACTGTTCCAATGATGTACTGAACTCTCGAAATGCCAATTGCTCTACAACAGGGGTGTCAAACTCTATTTCATTGAGGGCCGCATCAGGGTTGTGTTTGACCTCGGGGGCCAGAGTGGGTGTTTCCAGCTCAACATCACTCATGTTGGAGATACCCCTCCCGGGCTCTGTTTTTGGCTGCAATGGCTGCAGCGCTCTGCCAGCGAAAACTGAGCTCAGGAGGGATGCACATGGAGCTTGGGAGGGCTCATGGCCCTCCCGGGCCAGTTCTTCACTGTTTCCAAGTGGCCCTGCAGACCAGATCTAAGCATCCCGTGGGCCAGATCTAGCCTTGAGTTTGACACCCTTGTTCTACAAACTCAGTGGGGCATAACGGCATCTTCGACGATGGGTCAGTGCAGGCAGCTGGAGTCTGTGGAGCTGTGGGCTGACAGTTGAAGGATTGCACTATTTCTTTTGTCTGCTTACCCTGCCTTCTAAGTGGTGTAAGTGAAGGAGTAGTTTTTCATATCATAAGGATGTTCAAAATTATAACTCAATACCTTTTGGAGATCTACATTTTTCCTCTATTCCTGAATTATGGGCAAAATGTTGATTCTGTTTTTGGAGTTGGTTTTTTTTTTTTTTTATAAAAGTGGAAATCAGTACCCAAGTCACTTCAAGCACAGTCCGCCCTGTCGACTTGTTCCCATTTTGCTTCTTCTTTCTGTATCCCAGAATGCCGTGACATTCTTCTCCCCCTGCTGGTAGACCAGCTCAGTGGACAACTGGATGATAATTCTCACAAACCTGACCATGAAGCCTGCTCACAGCTGCTTAGCAATATTCTTGAGGTACTCGATCGGAAAGAGGTGGTAAGTACCTGTTGTTTTTCTTCCTCGAGAGTAACATTGTCTATAACTTTGTAGAGCAACTGCTTTGGAAATGAAAACGAACTGTTGCAGTTCTGTTGATGGACGGAATGGAATGGAATGCAATGAAATGGATGGGAGAATGGATGGATAGATGGACAGACGGAAGGACGGACAGATGGGACGGTTGGATGGATGGAATGGGATGGGATGGGATGGATGGATGGGAGAATGGATGGATGGATGGATGGATGGATGGATGGGAAAATGGATGGATGGATGGATGGACAGATGGATGGATGGGATGGATGGGTGGCTCTTGACTTTTGATGACTTATATGAATTTGTTTACTATATGTAGTTTAATTTTAGTACAATTGAACCAGTTTGTGCTTCTCCGGGATGAATTGCTGACTTCTAGTTTGCAGCCCTAGTCTTTTCAAATATATATTTTTCACATCAAAATATACATAATATTGACATATTCCTTCCCAAGGAAAAGCTGGGGTTATGACAGGAAGAGTATTCCCGTTAGTTTTATGTTTTTAGTCTGCAGTTTTAGCAGAAGGATAGCACAGACATAAATGGTTTTTAAAAACCGTCTCCGTCAATCCACAATTTTGACTGACATTGCTTTTCTTTCTTTTTTCATTTCAGCCCTTACAAATAAATCAATTCAAAAAGCATAAAGCTTTCCCATGTAACAGATAGTGTGGATGTGATGTTTTGAGGCAGGTTTTGAACTCTGAAAATTATACGGAACTGAAAATTGCAGGAAGGCTCTGTTAAAAAATCTAGCAGCAAGGGAAATGTTAGACAAGATGGCAAACAGCTGGAATATGTTTACATATAACCATGCAATTACATACCTTCTCTCACTGTGTAGCTCCCTAGTCAATTGTGGGGGGGGGGAATCTATAGAATAATAAAAAAAGACAAAAACAACCAAAATTAAGCATAGAATAATTTGGTCTCAATATTACCACAAGAGACTTATAGGCTATCTATCCTGGGAAAACTTTTGTTCTGAAAGGGATTCACCACGGAATAGGGAAGGATTTGTTTAACAAGTGGAGAATGGCAAAGAATGAGACATTCAGAGAAAGCAAGTTCTCCCTTCCTGTTTCAGTCTAATTGCATAATATTGGGGGTTATCTTGTACCCCAAGAACTTCACCAGAACCTCTTGTGACAAGGTTGTGAAAATTCCGGTCATAAGAACCCATCTTAAGAGGGCTGTGAAAATATCTACAGAACCCTCACATCCTGGACATAAATTGTTTCAACTTCTACCCTCAAAACAACTCTATAGGGCACTGCACACCAGAACAACTAGACACAAGGACAGTTTTCCCCCCATGCCATCCCTCTGCTAAACAACTAATTCCCACAACACTGTCAAAGTATTTACTAAGACTGTATTACTATTCTTCTTTTCATCCTTCCTATCTCTTGCCACTTATGACTATAACCGTGTTGCTTGTATCCTTACAATTTATATTGTTCTATTTGTTTCCTAGTATGATTTGATTGCTTATTAGAAACCTATGACTATCACTAAGGGTTGTATCTTATGATTCTCGATGAATTAATTTTATTTTTTCTTTATGTACACTGAGAGCATATGTACCAAAGACATATTCCTTGTGTGTCCAATCACACTTGGCCAATAAACAATTCTTTTCTATTCTATCTAACTTACTTTCCATTTCTTTGGTTCCTTCAGGGTCCAACCGCAGATCACATCCAGTTGATAATGGAGCGGCTACTGAGGAGGATAAATCGGACTGTGATTGGAATGGGAAGACAGTCTACTCACATTGTGAGAGCAATTTCCTTGATTCTGGTGTGCCTGATTTATTGTCCCATGAGTTTGGGGGTATATGTCCCTTGTTTGGAGACCCCTGGTAGGAGTCCAGCCATAGATTCTTCAGATGAGCTCGCACATTGGAAAATGCTCTTTCTCCCACCTCTTGACACTTGATGGACAATGTATCGAATGGCACAGAGGCTTTTGCCTTTTCCCCCGGGCCTAAACATGGGGATTTTTTTTACATGGACAAGAGATGGAAGATATTCTTTTATCTCAACTTCTGCCTTCAGTGTCTGGAGGCAACAGGAGCGAGGATAGACACTATCATCACATTTCTGGATGGGATCAGGTGAAAAATCCTGGTTTTTTCCTTTTGTTGGAAAAACAAAAGTTAGAAAATTGTAACTTTTTAAAATAAGAATATATAGGTATATAGGATCAGCTACTAGACAGTTAGTTTAATATTTTATAATTGAAAATTTTGTCTCCCACCCAAGTGTATCTTCCTGTGAGTTTTGAACACTAACCTCTCAAGAGTGATCATCTTATAAAAAACTAAAGAACTCTGGTCCACCTCATCTGTATCCTAGATTTTACAAGGGCCAACCAGTTGCCTTTTTAAAAACCCACAAGGACCATCTTAACATATGGCTCATGAAAAGCACAATTGACAATTTTTTTCTCCATCTTGTTTCTAGGGTAGTTTTGTATCCTGCATGACAGCCATCTTAAGACAGATGGACGATTCCCATTATAATTACTACATCAGCACTTTCAAAACCAGACAGGATCTTATCGTAAGTCTGATTGAAATTTTTATTATTATGTTTAGTCACACAATCAGCCAGATGTTCAAACTGGGTTTGCCATTTTTATCCACCTATTGAGTCCTTCCCAAGGACTAGGGATAGACAGATGTTGTTTGATAATATTAAAGTAATGTCAGAGAATGAAAGCTGTTCCAAGTGAAGCTGCCTTTTGCTGTTGACTGATGGTGATTTTGTCAATGCTGATGGCATTTAAGAGGTGCTTCAGATGTTTTGGATTGAATTATTACTATTGGTGCTTTCTTTATTATGATTATTGGTGTGTGTTTAATTTTTGGTCATATAGACAGTAGACTGGTATGTTTATGATGTGATTCTCAAAGAGCAGAAAAACTCTTGAAGGCATCTTCTTAAAAAGTTCAGATTCAGTTGCAAAACAAAGACTTATCTGGTTGCTTGCATTGCTTGAAACGTAATGAGCAATCCTTAATTCCATCTCAGAATCCAAAAAAGGGTAGCTAGAAGGTGGGTCTTTCTGCTCCATTGAGTTGATCTGCTCTCTGCCATTCATGGAGTTGGCATAAACTGTGCTGGAATGAAATCTGTTCTCTGCATTTCTGATCCTTTATCTGCTTCTGTTCTCTGACACTGTAGTTCCCTAATTTGTCTCCAAGGTGATCAGGAGGAAAGCCTAACAGATTTTGTGATACCTTGAGGTCTTCCCTTGGATGATTAACACCATAGCTAAGGACAGTTTAGGATGGTCTTGCTTATACGTTGGGGATGGAAAGAAGGCAACATAGAGAAGCATAGGAGAAAATTGTTAAGACTCATGACTGAATGGAGGTGGTGCATGCCCAGGGCATGTATGAGCCTTGATTAGGTGCAAATCTTGTAGAAGAGCAGTTGCAATACTCCACATAAGTAAAAGGAGTCCTGATGGCACAGTGTTAGAATACAGTATTGCAGGCTAATTGCCCACAGTCTGGAGTTCGATCCTGATGGGTTCAGTATTGACTCAGCCTTCCATCCTTCCACGGTCAATAAAATGAGGACCCAGATTGTTGGGGACGATATACAGAGAGCAAGCAGGTAAAGCACTATAGGGTAGTATATAAGTTTATACCTATAAGTTGCTAAAAGATTATTCCTTAATGGTGATGAACGTGGTTTGCAAACGCCTCGAACTGAATCATAGCATTTAAGCTTGGTAGCTTTCATTGCCTTCTGCCTGAAGCTCTACTGAGTTATTGTAAATCAAAAATGACAATATTGGAATAATTTATGAATCTGATGTAATCCAGATTTCCTTCATTACTTCAGGGGAAATACTTGGTGGCCCATTGGCAGAACACCAACTTTACATTCAGGTTCAGTTCCTGGTGCCCCTGGTTGAAAGTAATGAGATAGATTTCTTCCCTCAGTCTATTCCTATTTTATTCAGAATTTTAAGTGCTGGGTATGCTCAGTTGGGGGTTCTTCATTCCTTCTTACTCTCCTCCACGGGGATACCATGAATCTGCATTTGGCTGACTTTAGGTGTGAGTAATTAAGGCCAACTTTGTGACATGGAAGAATCTGTAAGCATTGCCCAGCACAGCAGTTTGTGGAGCCTGGCATTTGCCTAACTTGCTGTTACCGAAAAGAAGTAGGATTGTGATGTTCTTTGCTATGGATTTCCGCCAAGATGTTTTGAAACCTCTGCTGGCATATTGGGGAAGTTGGCAATGGTGAACTATTGGGATGGGCTTCCAAAAGTGCCAGTTTTGTATGTGTGCACATATCTGTGCATGTGTGTGTGTTTAAGTTAAACTATTTGCAACCAAATCCTTGGGCTCCTCAGATTGTATAAAATGTGTATTTTGAGGTTTTCATTCCGAAATTTCCATACCCTGGGATTGAGTTACTCAAAAGCCTCTTTGGTATGGATGCTCTTACTCAAAAGTGGGACGAGTTAGCTTTAGAAGAGATGCCAGGAGTTAGTTGAGTTTATGCAGTCATTTTGAAAGATGCCAATGATCTTGACCCTACCATTGCTGTTCATGTGGACTCAGATGCCAGTTCTAACCTCACATGTACAGTTCTCTTTCAAGCTGCCTTTTCTAACTTCACTAGCTACTCATATCACTCTCTGACTGGTAGTCCCAAGGGTGCTTTTTCAAGAGGCAACTGGACTTTCTTTGTTTTGAAGATGTTTCACTCCTCACCCAAAAAGCTTTTTCAGTTCTAACTGAACAGTGGAGAATGGAAGGATTTGCAGTCATCTGGTCATTAGTACTCTTTCTAAGAGCCATTGAGGCCACTTGGAGATTTATCTGTGTCCTACAATCCACCTGAATAGTGCAAATGGATGTGGAACCTTCTTGGAACTGCTGAAAGGACTGTGTTGTAAACAGGAATATAAAGAAATGTAAATCCTTCCATTCTTTCACAGTCCTTGACTGTGAAAATCTTGAGATACCCATACATCAAAGGGCATAGCCAACATGAGGATAGTTCTTCCATTCCTTCTTGCCTTTTTTTTTCTTCAAAAAAGAAAGAAAGCTTGCATGCAAAATACGTTTGAGCATGAAGTTGATTTCCAAGTATCCAAATAAGTATTTATTAGGAATTAGCAAGTGGATTAAATTAGGTGTCCTATGAATCTCATCACGGTTACTTTGTAAATGTCCCCACCGTATATTCTGAAAGATTTGAATAATAAGATCTAATAAGAACAGAGATACACTTTGCTTTCTTCCCAAAGGCACAGTCTAGTAGCCATGTGAATTGATGCATAATGTATTGATAATTTAGATTAATATTTCATAATGTTTTTCCAAGAGAATCTAAAAAAGGCTCTGCATCAATATATATATATTAAAAGGATGTTTCCTTCTGGCATTTGTAGTCCAGGCATCATATCTACCTAGGAATCTGGACTAATGTCATTAAGTTGGTCGTTCTTATCTTGACAATGCCTCCAACTTCTCAACCAGAATTATGTCATTTAAGGGCTGATATAATTATGCCTGATTCTATTTTCATTAGCAAATAGCCATAGCCATGTCTTCTTCTGTAGTCTTCCAGTCCTGCCCAGCTATGCATCTTGCTGTATTTTTCAATATTAAAATGACCTTTTATGTGGCTTCTTTAGCTGGAAAGTCATACATTGTCTTGGCTGTTCCTGCTTGATCTCATAAAGTCCTGTTTATTTGAACTTTTCTGAAAAGCTGAAATAAAATCCATGTAACTATCTCCTGCCATCCCAAAAAGTACACTTTAATTGTGTGCTGGCTGCATATCCCTTGCAGTTAATGCTTGATTGTAGTTTATGTATCCGTTGTAGGATTTATTTTTGTGAAAATAAGAGCTCTGTCCCTGAAAATAACTAGAAAATAGTACATTGGAAAGGAGATCATTCTTTCAGCCTGACTATTATACAAGGGATCTTGTCAATACTAATTAAAATGCTGACTGCTGTTACAGGTAACCTTGACTTACAACTGCTCACTTAGTGACCATGTGAGGTATTGATGAAGCTACCTGGTGGGTTCTTATGACCTGGAGTTGAAATTCTGATGATCGACCACCTCCATTGTTGTGTGACTGCACTTCAGGCACTCGGCACACAGGTTGCATTTATGACTGTTTGCAGCATCCTACAGTCACATGCATTTCAGTCACATGCATTTCAAGGCAACTTTGCTGAAAAACAGCAGTTCTGGTTTTCAGCAAAAGCATTGCTACAACTTAATCCTCTAGATAGAAATGATCCTTGGCTCCACTTGTTGAGAAAGGTATAGCTTTATTAAAAGTCAAGTGTATCGCAGTATTTCAAAGCCAGAGCTGAGAATCAAGTGCCAAAATCCCTAAATTCTACTTTTCCCTCCCTTCAACTGACTCCCATTGCCCACCTCCATGTTACAAGTCAGGTTCAGCAAGATTCTGTAGAGATTCTCTGTCTTCCAGGTCATGGTTGTCCCAAAGGTGCTTTTTTCAGGAGGCAACTGGGCTTTCTTGTTTTTTCTTTTGAAGACATTTCACTTCTCATCCCAGAAGCTTCTTCAGCTGTTACAGCACAGTGGGGAATGGAAGGATTTATATTCCTTGCTGAGAGCTGGTAATCTGAATCCTTGAAGCACTTGGAGGTTTATCTGTGACCTCCTGGATCCTGTAGTCTGCAACAACCCTCTAAAGCAAGGACCTTCAAATTTGGCAAGTTTAAGACTTGTGGACTTCAACTCCCAGAATTTTTGAGCTAACATGACTGGAGAGTTGAAGTGCAAAAGTCTTAAAGTTGTCAAGTTTGAAGACCCCTGCTCTAAAAGGACAAGCAAGTCCAGTTGCCTCCTAAAAAAAGCACCTTTGGGACATTCAGCAAGATGTTTTCATAATGGTCACTGCAAGCATAGTTTTCTATGCAGCTCCCTCCCTTCTTCCAACTGCGAGACCATGAAGCAGCATCTTGAGAAGATACAGAACTTACTTTCATTTCCCCAAGCATTCTCCCCCCGCCTCCACCTTCGTTCCTCCTCCCCACTGTTCATGTCGGTCTGTCACCACATAGAAGTGAAGCACAAGCAAGCTGACAATCTAGGAAACAATTGTTCCCTTAATGACTGCAGAGTTCACTTAGCAACCACTGCAAAAAAGGTCATAGAATCATCATGGTCACATGATTGACCTGCTTTACAATAGTTGTGAATCACAATTGTGATGGGCAGGCTCCATTACAGTTGTAACTTGAGGAGTGTAGGTAATCAAATCCCCTTTTTGCATGTGAGATATGCACAAGGCACATAAGGATAAAGTTTCAATCTTATGGTTACATCTCCATATTTTTCACCGTCCTCCAGCTTGTAGACCATTCTTAATTACACTGCATAAAAAAGCAAGATAAAGGTTGCCAACAAAGTAAAAATAACTATTTTTTTTAAAAAAAACCTTGTAACAATGATAGAAAAATATTTAAGGGGGGGAAAAATCAGGCTTTGGACTCAAGTCCTGATTGCGAAGATAAAAGTTCCAACTTCAACTACTGCCAAGAGGGTGAGACCATTCTGGATTTCCCAGCAAAACCTAAATCTGTCATTCTCTATAGAAGCAGCTCTGAAAAGAAAAATGCAAATAACACAATTGAGAAAAAGATCTGTTTTTCACTGGAATTCTGGCAGGGAGGGGATAATGCTTAAATAAGCGTTTTCCTTGACAACAAAAGGAAATGATTAGCAGCTTTTTCAATAATTCTAGAGCTGCTATACTAGGTATGAAAGCTAATTTGGACTAGTGTTGAAGACCTCAGGCCACAAACCAGGAGACAGTGAATTCTAGTCCTGCCTTAAGCATGGAGCCAGCTGGGTGACCTTGGGCCACCACTTCTTCTCAGCCCTGGGAGGGAGGCAATGGCAAACCACTTCTAAAAAACTGAATAGCAGAATAATAAAGTTGGAAGGGACATTGGAAGTCTTCTAGTCCAGGGGTTCGACTAGAAGACCTCCAAGGTCCCTTCCAAATCTATTATCCTGTTAGTCCAATCCCGGATCAAGCAGGAAAGCCTACATCATTTCAGAAAAATGGTTTTCCAATCTCTTCTTAAAAATCATGCCATGAAAACTGCAAAGATTTGTCCAGGCAGTCACCGAGAACCAGAAAGGATTGAATGGAAGAAAAAACACAACAAATGAAAGAAAGATTGAAACAAAAAATAGTAAAATAATATCTAGATATCTAAGTGTGTGTGTGTACATGAATTAAAATGGATGGAAAGAAAACATTCTTTTTTTAAAATAAAGTTTTATTTGAGTTTTTACACACAAAATACAAGTAAAACATCTTTTTTGAAAATAGCATGGTCCAGGGTTGAACTTCTTTCTACAGACACAAAACTCAATTTCATGTTCCTTTTTGTATTCTATTCCATATCTTATACTATTTTACATTTTCTATATAGTTTTTCCCCTCTTTTAATTTTCTCAATTTTATTTTGATTATCTCATCTCAATTCAAATCATTATATTTATACTTTTGTCTGTTCTGTTTCAATTTCATATTATCTTTTCTCATTAAACAAATTTTCTCCTGTAGTTACTAATTGGAGTATGACGCCTTTATATCTTTTAATTACATCCATTCAACTCTTATTTAAACTTCAATATATACCTTAAGTTTATGACCTTCAATATAATGCATAATAGATAACTTCCAATCGAATTCTGCTTGGCACATTCTTATAATACACACTATATTCTTTAAAAAAAAAAGATTGTAAATATATGTAATTATAAACCCTCATTCCATTCCAGTTCAGTTCTATCATTAATAATCATTAAAATCTTAACATCTTTAACACATCTTTTCAATTAAATATCATACTTCCTTAGAAACACATATAATCTCCATAATTAATTTTTCCCTTATTTCTCTTCACATATGTTTTATAAATCATTAAATATACCTTTTGTTACATTTATTTATTGACAAGCATTCCACTGAATTACAATAGCTATTTTATCAGACATTTTAATCATACATTGTTTCATATTTTCTAAAATTATTTCTGCTTCTAATATAGCCATACTATCGTATGTACCTTTGCAGAATCCCTTTTTCCATTAAGTTTTCACCCATTATCTCTAAATAGGCACCTTTTCTCTATATTTTGCTTCTGTCCTTTATAACTTCTTTTCCTTTCTTTCTTCCCTCTCATCTTCTCCCTCCCCTTTTTACCCCCTTGTCTCTCTAGTTCTAATTCTCTCTTCTGCATTTCCCTCGTCTGTTGCTTTCTGGTTTTATACTTATTTTTCACTCTATTTGGGGGCGGGGGGGGGAGTTGTTTTTCCCAATCTTAAACTTTCCATTCTCTTTCACCCCTTTCCTTTTTTCCCCCCATCTAAGATTACTTGTTCATTAAAGATGGCTTCTTCTTTGTCGCAATCTTCTTGTTCTGCAGGCATTTCTTGTGGTTTCTCATAATTCCAAATCTCCATTTCTAAAAACTGAAATACGAAGCCAAAAGAACCTCTCCCTTCTTGTGCATCTTCTTTGTACTTTTTAAGTTCCATTTTCAGTTCTTCTAAAAGTGGAGCCATTTTAAACAGTTTTACACAACCACCTGATTGATTTTAGCCATTCAAAACAATAACCAAGAATCCAGAAATCATCAAGTAATCCAGATAGTCCCGAGTTATATCTTCTTATTTCTTTTTCAACTTTCTCTTCCTGGGGTTTTTGTTGTGACATTTCAGTTAGAATGTATCTTTTGGAAGTCTTGTTGAGGTTTTGCTGTAAGTTCTTTTTTAATTCCAGGCAGTCTCCTCCCTTCCAGATCCTACCCTTTTATTCTTTTTCTCTCCTTTCCTGTTTTCAAAAGCTTTTAATCATCCAGAATCTTTATTATCCCTTTGACTTTTTATTTTCAGCATTAAATGCCTATTGATGTCAAAGTGGATTTTTTTCCAATTTCTTGCTTAAGTCTCTTAGCTGTCAGTATAGGAAAAGGAGAAAACCAAATCTTTTCCCCTTTCTCTCTCCTTCTCAGCTTAAAAATCTTCTTAGGGAACAATGTTATTGTTTTTTAAGAGTTTCAATTCCAGGATACCTTATTTGTTGCTTTTGCTGTTTGACCCGGTCAACCAAAACTTTCACTTCATATCTTCCTCCTGCACGTTCTTTTCCGGTCAAGTTCTTCATTGTGGTGGCCATATCTGACCACCGCTGCAACCGCCTTTGGGAAAGGGAGTAATGGCCAGCTGGGGAGGAGAGATGCGGCTCTCCTCAACCCTGCTGGCAGTCTCCCCACTCTTCACCACCTCTACGTGGTGGCTTAGCCCCGAAACCAGCCAGCTCAGGGTGCTCCAGCGGCGAGCATGGATTGAAGCCTCGCAGAGACGAAGTTTTGGTCTGTCGCTGAAGAAGCTCAAACCGGAAGATGGAAAAGAAAACATTCTTGAGACTGTTCAGGGCCAGCTTTGAGCTGATTTTCACTCATGAAACCCAGAGTCACTTTAGTCCAGTGTCAGCTATATAGGTATGTGTAGCAATAGCACTAACACTTATATACCACTTCACAGTGCTTTCCAGCCCTCTCTCTAAGCAGTTTACAGAGACAGCATATTGCCCCCAATAATCTAGGTCCTTCTTTTACCAACCTTGGAAAGATGGAAGGTTGAGTCAACCTTGAGCTGGTCAGGATCAAACTACCGAACTGCTTGCAGTCAACAGTCAGCAGAATTAGCCTACAGTAGTGCATTCTAAGCAAAATGCCACTATGGCTCTACATGTACATAACTCCCATGGTTATGTGTTTTGGTGGGGAGAATTTTTATGGGACTGAGTATACTATCTTGGTATAAACTATCTTGGTATTTTTAAAAGTAGGCTTATCTTTGGGAGAAAACCTGGTTGTTAGGTAGTATTTCTAAGACTTTCTTAAATCTTTTTCTTGAGCTGTATAGGATTGAGGTATCAAATGCATTGGAATTGGAACATTCTTTATTGACCAAGTGTGATTGGACACACAAGGAATTTGTCACCAGTGCATAAGCTCTCAGTATATAAACAACCAGTGATAAGTCATAGATCATAAATCGTAAGATACAATCATAAGTCATAAGATACCAATAGGAGAAGCTAGTAGGAAAGATAAGAAGATGAGAAGAATAATAGCAATACAAAGAAGTCCCAAGATGAGATTCTCAGTTGCCATTTAAGTAGTAAGGCTTTGGGTCTAACTCCAAAAAGTAGGTAGGACCCAACTAGAACAAAAGTTAGGTTTAATTGAGTGTTTGGCACATGTATTTAAAGAGTTTCTACTTGTACCATTTTTAAGAAAAAGTTTTTATTGGCAGTGTTAGCAGGTAGAGGGTGGGAACACAGCAAGCCATGGAAGATTATGTCCCAGTGATCTCTAGAAGGATTGGGAAGACAGTTCCAAGAATTCCCAGTTAGTATGGCCAATTCTGGGAAGTAGAGTCCAAGAACATCTGGAGAACATTATATTTGGATGGCTGGTCTATAAGCTAATATAAATCTGGTCACTCTCTTTTATTCTGATTTGTAACCTTTCCCGTAGGATTTTCTGATGGAAACTTTCATCATGTTTAAAGACCTGATTGGGAAAAATGTCTATGCAAGTGACTGGATGGTGATGAATATGATGCAGAGCAGGTAAAAAGTCTTATTATCTGTAGCCCAGAATATTTCCCCCCTCCAGTTCTTTGTTTCTTTTTCCATATTTTTTTTAGCACAGTATATCAATCAATGACCATTGTTTCAGGATCCTTGAAGTCTGGTCTGGATTAAAAATAAATGCAACTGAGAGAATCCCTTCTGGATTGCTCAGCTATTCATAGTGGTTTTATTTCTCTGCCTTTAGTAGCTTGCTAACTTGTCAATTCTCTTGACTGTGGTTTCTTAGAACCTTCTAAATCAAACCTTTCAATTTGAGAATACAGACATTTATATGAAAATTGGCACCATTGCTTTAAGAGCAGTGAAAATACAAATTATGCCAAAGAACTTGTGAACACACAGCAGGAACTTCCTGTGGTTTCACAGGGACAAGGAGTTGCTTTTAGCCTCTGTCTCTCTCCCAAGCTGTTTTTTAAAATGGCTTTTTTTCCCCCTGTACTTTTCCAGGATTTTCCTTCGAGCCATCAATCAGTATGCTTCTGTGCTCAATCGCTTCTTCTTGGATCAGGCAAGCTTTGAGCTCCAGGTAAGAGAAAACGTCCACTCTCTTTAATCACAAGGGCTTGGTGGTTATCTGGAAGGTGAGTCTTTACAATTTGCCAAATGGGCCATCATGGCCAATTGAAACGAGACTGCACATTTCTTTAGAAAGATTTGTATCAGATTTGAGAACTTGCTTGGAGAAGTCAAGAGACAGCCAAGGGATCCTCCTTAACATTTTAAGGCATTGGAAATCATGGCAGATAGGGCCATATAACGTGTCAAGTTTTCTTCTCCCTTAAATGCTGAAACATGTAACTCATTCCCTTGTCTTTTAGCTGCAGAATATTGAAATCTTATAGTCTTCGACTTACAGTCATAATGGAGTTTTCCCATCATAGTGATAAGTCATGAAAATCATAAATCAAATCACTCACATGACCGATCCAATTTTAGGATCTTTTTTGCAGCAAAAACGCCCGCCCAGGAGGCTACCCTGTGGCCCAGGAGGCAAAAAAAATGGAGTGCAGGTGGGGAGTGTTGTTGGGGGAAAAAAGAAGGCACGCCCATCCAGGCACATGGTCACGCCCACCTAGCCACGCCCATAGAACCGGTAGTAAAAATATTTGCATCCCATCCCTGGAATAGATACCCAATACCTGGATTGATAAACACATTGCACTAAACAATGATTTGTTGAATAGTTCAACCAATGCTTAAACGTATTATATGGAGCAGTCCATTAAAGATTCAGAAACACATTTGGGTTCAGCAGGCAGCTTTTCAAGTTCTTGTTGGAGCAGATGTTTTGAGAAGACACATTTTAATGACTCTCCTATCTTGCATGCCATCACATGACTTTATCTTATTTTATGATTAGTTTATTATTTGATCTGATTTCTCTCTCTCTCCTCCATACTCCCATAGCTATGGAATAATTACTTCCATTTGGCAGTGGCCTTTCTTACTCATGAATCTCTTCAACTGGAGACTTTCTCGCAGGCCAAGCGGAACAAGATAATGAAGAAGTAAGTTTTCACCTGAGTTTTTATTTTTACTTAAGTTCTCCCACCATTACTTAGTGTTAAAATTGCTTCTGCACCATCACATTTTTCTAAATGAATGATACTGAAAATCGGAAGGATGGGTATGTCTAAAAACATGTTAAATCAGCCCAAAAGCTGATTTAAAGCTTGGTTGATAATTTTATTACATATTTGACTGTTAAATGCACATTCTGATTTTTTCTGAGAATCAAAAGAAGTATAGGTAGTGCTCTTAGCCCCAATTTATCCCCCCAACAATGAACCTGTGAAGGATGTTGGTCAACAAAGACAGTAGCCACATGTAGTAGTTGGTTTCCTAGTTGATTTGAAACCAGGAGATAGTGATGCAAATACTGTACCAATCTTCTTGTTTCCTATGATATGATCTTATTATTATATCATAGGAAATTGTTAGAAAAATCAGAAAGTCTTCACCTTAATATACACTAGATTATATTGTCTCTATAGGTATTTTGGTTATTTTCATCCCATTCAATTCAGTAAATACCGCTAAAGAGAACTTATGTGACAATAGTCTGTGGAACAGAAGGAGTATTGGTTTTAGGAAATTACTAAAGAACATGACACCTAGAAATCTGATGACCCTCCATAATTAAGGAGCTACTTAAACTTGAATCTTTTCAGTCCTGTTCCAACACCCTTAACAGCTACGTTCCCATGGGCTTCCATACTTTTATAGGCTTGTGGCAGTTGCCTTCAACTTTAATCAGCTGTTGAAGTGTTACTGACTGATGTTATTGACATGGTTTTGGTGAATTGAATTATTATTTTTCTTTGGACACCAGAGGTAGTGATGGTGGTATATGGTGGTTTATCAGTTTTTTTTCATCTTGGTAAGCTACCCAGAATCATTTGTGCGATTAATCGGTTATATAAATCCTATAAATGAACAACCAAATAAATAAAGCATTGGACTGTTAGACGTATATATAAATACTTTTCAAATAAAACACTAGTTACAATAATGTGAATGCTTGCTTGAAAGGACAATTTAGACTTCATGCCAGTGATTCAATTTTTTTTTACTACCAGTTGTGTGGCGTGGCTTGGTGGGCGTGGCAGGGGAAGGACACTGTAAAATCTCCAGTCAGAGGTGACATTTGCCGGTTCTCTGGACTACTCAAAATTTCTGCTACCGGTTCTCCAGAACTGGTCAGAACCTGCTGAATACCACCCCTCCTTCATGCCAAAGAGGATCCTTGGGACAACATTGATCCAATAATTGATTTTGTTCCCAGAGATTTAAGCAAAATCATTTAATGCTCTCTCTCTCTCTCTTTTGTAGATATGGAGATATGAGGAAGGAAATTGGCTTCCAGATAAGGGATATGTGGTACAATCTTGGTAAGCAGTGAAGCAAATTGAAAGAGCAAATTGGCATGCAAAGTTGGACTCTTTGGCCATTGCTTCATGGATGCAGAAAGAATGACTGGAAACATCTTTTGTTTGTGTCAAAAGAAGGAAACACTAATCACTATCCACAAAGGGCGGGGGGGTCACTTTGACCAGGGGTGGGATTCAAATTTCTTAGCAACCGGTTTTGTGGGTGTTGCCTAATTTGTGGGTGTGGTTTGGTGGTCATGTGACTGGGTGAGCATGGCTTGCTGACTGGGTATGGCTTGGTGGTCATGTGACTGGGCGGGCATGCTTGTATGTAAATATTATAAATATATATGTAAATATTGAATTTTTTGTAAAAAAAAAAAAAAAAAGAGCAACGTTTACCCAAAAGCAGGCAAAGCAGGCAGGAAGATTGAATTGCTCACAGAATCACAGATTCACTTAAGAGATCTATCTATCTGCAATCGGCTATCTGAGTCTGTCACATAAAATTTGCTTGCAAGCAAACTCGTAATTCGGCTACCTGAGTCTGCACTGAAAAGCTTCAGTCCTAAGGAAAGTTCGGCTCTGCTTTTAGATTAGCTAGAAAGCAAGAAATGCAAGGATTTCCTGCTTTCTAGCTAATCTAAATCAACTGGCAGAGCAGAACAGCTGATGGTCAGGGGGAAAAAAGGAAAAATAGCAACTTACCAAACCAGGCAAGTTGGATGGCTCGCATGCCAGGTAAGAAGTGAGTGGGTGGGGAGGGGCGGGGCTAGCCAGCGAAGCGATTTGCCGGTTCTCCGAACTGCGGACAATTGTGTGTGCAGCTCGGGTACGCAATGTTTGAAAACCCTCTTGTTTCCAGCTTTTTCAACTTTAGCTGTGCTGCGCAAAGCAGCTGAAGAGGGAAAAGCAAGGAATAAAGGACAGGCTAGAGCCCAGGCAGGCAGGTGGGCCAAACGCCAAAATGGTTTGGTGTCAGCTGCTCTTTGCAGCTACAGGTTCTATAGAACCAGGCTGAACCAGTAGCATCTCACCCCTGCCTTTGACTAAGAAAAGGACAGGAAAAAGGGAAAATGGAATGTATTATCTTTATTATATTGAAGGGGGGAAATACGCATATTTATCCAAATTTTTTTTTTCCAAAGCAACTGGATTTCCTTTGTTTTTTCCTTGAAGACATTTCACTTCTCATCCAAGAAGCTTCTTCGGTTCAGAACTGAAGAAAAACAACAACCCTGCTCTAATAAAGTTTTTAAAAATATATGTTTTGCATGCAGGAGATCAGTGCCTGGGTGAACTTAATAAGCTTCCTAGTACAAAAATTGGATAATCTGGAGCAGCCTTTCCCAATTTTTCCCAATCTCTATCTTTCGCTTCCCTGTAATAGCCAAAGTGACCATTGCTGAGAATTCTGGAGGCTGAAATTCATGCCTCTGGAGGGTTTCCAAGTTCAGAAAGGTTGCCTGTTCGAGATAGGTCATGCTGGTATTCCTGAGGAAGTTTTCAGAAGTCTATATTAAACAGGAGAGAATGAAAGGCAACGTGCAAAGAAAAAGAGAGATCATTTGATCTAAAGAAGCATTCCTAGTGTTTCAGAATGACTCTTCCCTCATCTTATCTCCACTGATATATTGGTATGATGGTAAATTCCTACAGAATTTTAGAAAAAGTAGGAGGATGAAGTGACAGAAGGTCTCTGTTGAAATGTTTGCCTATGAAAGACTTTAAAAAAACGAGTTGAAAGGGATTTGTGGCTGAATAGCAGCTGCTATTAGACAAAGTCTGCTATTAGTCTGTTTGAACTTCTCCTGTTTCCTCCACACACACACACACACACACACACTTTTTTTGTTTTCTCAGGACCTCATAAGATCAAGTTCATCCCTTCCATGGTGGGCCCAATTCTGGAAGTGACCTTGACGCCAGAGCCCGAGCTACGGAAAGCAACCATCCCAATCTTTTTCGACATGATGCAATGCGAATTCAACTTCAGTGGGGGCAGAAATTTCCGTATGGTACAGAATTGGCTTATAAAGTGTTGGGAAAGTTTGAGAACTATTTTTTTATTTTTATTATTTGTTTATTTATTTTGTCAAGCATGTTTTAAATAACAGATATAATTTGGAACATGATTATGAGTACATGAAATGGGTACAAATAAAAGGGGACATTAGGACAGGGACAGTAGGCATGTTGGTGCTCTTATGCATGCCCCTTACAGACCTCTTAGGAAAGGGGTGAGGTCAACAGTAGACAGTCTAAGGTTAAAGTTTGGGGAGTTTGGGGAAGAGACCACAGAGTCAGGTAGTGCATTCCAGGCATTGACAACTCTGTTGCTGAAGTCATATTTTCTGCATTTGCGTTTGGAGCTGTTTACCTTGAGTTTGTATCTATTGTGTGCTCATGTGTTGTTCTAGTTGAAGCTGAAGTAGCCATTGACAGATAGGACATTGTAGCAGATCATTTTATGTACTATGCTTAGGTCAGACCAAAGGCAGTGTAGTTCTAAGTTGTCTAAGCTCAAAATAGTATAAGGTATTCTGTTGCAAGCAGAATTATGAATAATTATGAATAGTTATGACTAGTCACAATATTTTAATTCATAATATTTCATATAATTGTAATATTATATTATATAATTATAGTATTATTATATTATAATATAATTATGAATAGTTGCAAGGAATTATGAATAAACTGATGAGACCTGCAAGGGGGAGATACCTGAAACCTCAGGTTGTTCTTAAGGATAAAGCATAATTCTTTGGCATATATGAACACACCTCAGCAGCTGGTTCGGCTGAATCCGTATCAAACCATGATTGCCTAAACTGGACCATTGTTTGGCTTCCAATAGGACTTATCTAAAATGACTGAGAGAGATTAAAAATAGGATTGATTGATCCATCTATCTTAGGGCTCTTAAAAATAATCAAAATCCAGCCTCAAGGGTCAATGGGACTATCCAATGGGCCAATAAATGGGGGTTAATAGATGGTTGATAAACAATGAAGGATCAATTGGAATCAGTTGATCTTCTGGGACCATCTAAAGAACTTCATACCAATCTCTAGTCCTATATGGAAAATGGCTAGCAGTGGGACAGTGTTACCAAAGATTGGATAGTCAGCACCAGCAATAAGCCAATCTCATTGTACACATGTTGTACTCTGACAATAAAGGTAATAAAAAAAAAACCAGCCTTGAATTGTCTCTATTGTTGCTTGTTTTTTGCAATAATTTTTTTAATTTTTGGTTACAACAAAAATATCATTGTGTGAACAGTGTGGTTCCGTAGTATCTTACATTTTGATACAAATATGACAATATTCCTCTTGTTTAATATAGTTGACAATCTTTTAAAATTTGATATTAATACATATTTTTGTTAAATTATCTATCTTTATTGTTCAATATTGCAACATGTTATTTTTGTGTCAATCTCTATATTCTTAACCTCACTCCTTTTACAACCAATTATATCTTAATAATCATATTTGCAGTGTTTACCAGATTATATAGTTCTATAATTCTATAGAATTGTCTCTGTTGTTATTATTTTTTGTACTGTGTTATTACTTAAAGTAATATTTATTAAATTATTTTCATATTAAATGGGGGGGGACAATGAACAATCTGGAATTTCTTGAATGAATCGATGGGCTGAAGAGTTTGGAGACCTTGTTTTCTGATTTTTTTAAAAAAAATATTTAATGGAAACCCTTTAAGTAATGTTTTCTTTTCCTTTTGGTCTTTAAATTGCAGTTTGAAAATGAGCTGATCACTAAATTAGATCAGGAAGTAGAAGGAGGTCGAGGAGATGAACAATACAAGATCTTGCTGGAGAAACTGTAAGTGTGTGAGTGTTCTTGATTATCTTCCAGGTAACGTTTTGTAATGTGCTGTTGCTTTCTCACATTCCATTGCCCAGAGAACGTGTCAGTTTACCATACAAGTCTATCAGATGAGCAAGAGACAGATATTCCTTTTAGTCTCCAGCGTGAACATTTTTTATGAATTTATATACACACACACACACACACACACATACACACACTCGTAAGTCAATCTGTGCGTTGACTGAATTTTCATAGAGGTGTAAGCATTCAGTCTGAAACAAAAGTTAGATTTTATTTTTTTGAGTTAAAGCATCATAGTATTGGAAGGGGCCATTTAGAGGTCAAGCCTTCTACCATCCAGTGAGGAATTTAAACAACAGCATTTTTGATAGGGTCGCATTTATTTGAATACAACTCAGAAGCTTATCTACTCTGTCAGTAACTCATTCCATTGTCAGACAGGTTTTAGGAAGGGTGCTCGGTTTTCTAATACTCAGCCAGAATTTAGCACAGTGTTTCATATTTACTAGCTGTGTTTGCTAGCAAACTTTAAGCTTTATTAACAAAACACAATGGGTCTGTTCACAAAACATGCTATGCCAATGCAGCTAATCCTTGATTGGGATGAGAATTTCCACTGCTAAGCAAGGCAGTTATTAAATGAGTCGTGCCAGATTTTATGAGCTTTTTTGCCAGAGTTGTTAAGCAAAATCACCAGAGCTGTTAAGTGAATCATGTGGTCACTAAATAAATCTGGCTTCCCCCATTGACTTTCCCTGTTGGAAGCTGGCTGAGAAGTTCACAGATGGTGATCATATGACTTCAGGGTGCTATAACCAACATAAATAAATTGCCAATTGTTAAGCATCCAAATTTTGACCCCGTGACCATTAGGGATGCTGCATGCTTGTAAGAGAAGGATTGCTCAAAAGTCACTTTCTCCAGCACCATTTTAACTCTGAATGGTCACTAAATAAATATCTGTAACTTGAGGACCATCTGTACAAATAATCACATTGTAGTTTCATGTGAGTGACCCATTTTTGACTGCATGCTAAGACAGTGACTAGCACTATATTCGTTGAGGGAAGCATTTTGCGTGGATTGGCCACTGTGTATTTTTTATTTGTTTGTTTATTTGTATGTGTGTCAGCATACAACCTTGTATTCTTACCTTCTGCTTTGAACTCTTATACTAAGAATAGTTTGGAAATAAAATAAAAATCAATCAGTAATATCCAAAAGGTTAATGCAGATGATTGGACACAATATTTCTCTTCTCTGTAAGCTTTTAACTTACACATCTTTGGATCTAATGTCTTCTTTTAATGACCCCGTAATAAATCCCTTGCATCGGGGTAGAGTCGAGGCAACTAAATGGAGCTGAGTGTTTACTGACCGGATGCCCTTCCTGTCACTAATGCGGAGTTTGCAGCAGATATATTCTCATTGTGCCCAGAGAGAGAAATATTTGCCTCTACCTACATCCTTAGATCTAATCCAACCCATTATTTAAAATCAGGAGCTCTGTTTTTTTGTCTTTTTATTCATCTCTCTGCTTTTCTTTTATTCCTCACCAATGGAAATGTCTGCAGCCTCCTGGAGCACTGCCGGAAGCATAAATACCTGTCCAGCTCAGGCGAAGTCTTTGCCTTGTTGGTTAGCAGCCTGCTTGAGAACCTGTTGGATTACCGAGCGATTATGCATGATGGGAGCAAGGAGAACCGCATGAGTTGCACCGTCAACTTACTGGTATGGGGAGAATGTAGAGCTGGGTGAAAATCTTGGTTCCTATGAAACCACTTTGGACCCATAGACCCACTTTGGACCTGCTGCATTAGAAGCTCAGGAGCTGATATAGGTTTAGCGTGATGTCTTCTTATTTGCAAAGTGCCTATCATCTTTCCTCACTTTCACCACTACCATGCCAAGGCAGGTCACTCTTGTTCCCATTATACAGGTTGTGGGCTGATACTCCAAAAAGAAAGGTTTCCATGCAGCCAACCAATGAGTCCATTGTGAGATCCTTTGTCCGTCATTGCACCCACAAAACCACATTGGCGTGGCTGTGAGTTCCACTGTAATTAACGTCTGCAGCACTTCTCACAGGAATAGTGCTTTTTGTGATCCCTGAAGCCATTTTTCCTGGGCACCTTCAGGGCTGCCACAACGGAGATGTGTCGAGTTGGGGGAACAGGAGCGGGGAGGAAGAGATAGCTGGCGGGGTTGTAGCCAAAATAAAATTCTTTCCTCTGAGAGCCAAGGACTTTCCCACCAGGTGCAAGGAATTGGGACCTGAGACTCTTGGACTGTGAACTGATTGGACCGTGGGACGGATTGCATGGGCAGGGGAAAGAAAACTTTACTTTGAACAGGGGGGAAAATCCAAGGAGGGGTTAGAATCAGGTTTCCCCAGATGTGCCAATGGGACATGCCTACTTAATCTATGCTTTGAGGAACATGCCTGCCTTGGAGTTTTGACTTCATTGCAGGGGGAGGTGTTACTTGGAATCCTGACACTTTGGTAAGCTCTCTGGACAGACATGTGACCACCAATCCATTAAGGCAAGGCAGTGTTATTCCCATATTACAGATGGAAGTTGAAGATGAGTGAATCACTTCTACCAATGATCCTAGGGCCCAGCAATATGAAGCAATTTGTCTTACACCCCACTGAAAGCAGTATGGAATCATGTGATTATCATTTGCTGCCATTTTTCATCCTCAAGAACCTTAAGATGGCCTTTTCCTAGGGTTCCCTTGCATGCCAGTTCCCAATATTAATTAGTTTAATTGGCCAATAGCTTGTAACTAGCCTAAATCGGTTTTATCCTTGCAGGGATTTGGACCAAAAGTTACATTAGTGCAAGTTGAACACTGTTCCGTCCATCAAACCATAGGCATAGAGACTGAATTAGAATTTAGTGGTGCCTAAGTTGGCCAACAATAATCAGCACAGTTTCATTTACATCAACAACAGTTTGAAAATCCATAGCTTGCCTATCTGAATCCAGGCTCAAAAGTTTAGTTTAGATTCTCAACTGACAAGCTTGAGGTGATGTCTGAACTGGATCAAAAATTGTACATTTTTTTACATTCTATTACTGAAATAATTTGGTTATTCCCAAACTTGTTTTTTCTTTTGCAGAATTTTTATAAAGAAAAGAAAAGAGAAGATATATACATCAGGTAGCATCAGTAGATCTTCAGTCTTCTGAATAAGCTGTTACAAGGTCGTATAGCACTTCTGATTCTCATACAGTATGTTGTTGTTGTCTAGGTACTTATATAAGCTCCGAGATTTGCACACTGATTCCGAAAGCTATACTGAGGCAGCTTACACACTCCTGCTTCATGCAGAGTTACTTCAGGTAAGTGTGGGTTAGGGTCTTGAAGAGTAGGTCCATGTACGGCACTTTGCAGTAATCAAATGTGCATTTTGTTAAGGCAGCATTTGGCAAGTTTAAAACGTGTGGGCTAAAACTCCCCAGCCAATTCTGAGAGTTGAATCCACACCTCTTAAACTTGCCAATGTTGAGAAACAGTGTGTTAAGACTATATCTACACAGGAGGTACAACCAGATTAGGCATAACAACGTAGACTAAAATTGATTTTCTTTTAAAGGAAAAATCTTGTTTTATTTCTCCAGTTCTCCTGGAGAATCCAAAATAAGAATGGGATCAAAAGCGATTCAAAGGATTGAAGCTGTCCAAAACAAGTGGAATCTTGCCTCTTTGGCCAAACACATAGCAAAAATACTTCAACTTGTCTAGGTTGTTATTATGTTTTCAAATTATAATGTACACGCTGCTGAGATGGATATTCAAAGCGTCAACAGCAACTAAGGCATTAACTCTGGGAGATAAAGAGATTACTCTGTTCTTCATCTACCAGAAGAACACTTTTTGTTTCTTCAGGTCCTTAACATGATGGAACATACTCTTCTAGAAGAGCTAGAGCAAAATTGCAATATGACGTCCTTAATTCCAGGATCTGGTCTTTCTTTTATCCCAGTGGTCTGATCAGCCATGTGTTCAGCATCTGCTTCAGAGGGACAGCTATTATGTCTATTCACAACAGGAACTCAAGGAGAAGCTTTACCAAGAAATCATAGTCTTCTTCGACAGAGGCAAAGTGAGTCTGTCACAGGCATCCTCACCCCAGGGGTGGGATTCAAATTTTTTTAACAACCAGTTCTGTGGGCATGGCTATGTGACTGGGTGGGCATGGCTTTTTTTTAGCAGCACCACCACCCCCCGTTCTGGGGCCTCCTGGGCCTCAGGAAAGCCTACTGGGGGGGGGGTGTTTTTGCTCCCAGGAAGCTTCCCAGGAAGGCAAAAAATGAGGTGGGGGATGCACCCCCAGTATCCCCTCCCCACATCCCATCCACACCCCTTTTTGCCTCCTGGGCCTCAGGGAAGCCTCCTGGGCAAAGCAGTAAGACATCGAGGGGGGATCCCGGCACAGCTGACCTTAAGGAGTGACTGGGCTGGAGAGAATGCAGTCAGTGACGTCGCGCATGTGTGCAATGTCACTCATGTGCAATAAGGACTGACTGGGTGGGGGGGAGGGGTGGGCGAAGATGGGCAGGGCACGATTTGCCAGTTCTCCGAACTGTGGAGAATCATAACAACCAGTTGTATGGAACTGGTCCGAACTGGTAGAATCCCACTCCTGATCCTCACCCTTGATAAGGATGGGGTGAACATGATTCCTTTTTTTTAAAAAAAAAAGTTTTTTATTTTTATAACTAAAACAACAAATAAAACCATCTTTCAGTTATCCAGTGTGTCAATATATCTTGTGCACATAATAATGCTTATATACGTTTCTTATTGAATTTATATTCATATTATAACCTATTCAACATTATACAACATAGTGTACCACTATTACAGCATCATTAAATTTCTTGCTTCATTTTCCAACTATTCTTAAAAACAAATCCCAAATCTTACTGGGTTACATTCATATTATAGCCTATTCAGCATTGTCTAACATAGTATATCATTATTACAGTTACATTATTATTATCGTTTAATTTCTTGCTTTATTTTCCAACCATCCATAGAATAGATCCCCAATCTTACAATATTCCTTTTCTTCTTGCTCTCTAATTGCTAATGTTAATCTACTCATTTCTGCACATTCCAATGTTTTCTTAATCACTTCCTCCTCCATCGGAATTTTCTCATTTTTCCAATTTTGAGCAAATACAATTCTAGCTGCTGTTAATACATTCATAATCAAATATGTTATTTCTTTGCTATAGTTCTCACACAAATCCCCAATAAAAATAACTCAAGGCTTTAAGTGTATATGTTGTTTTATCATCTTTTCCAACCATGTGTGTATTTTAGTCCAATATCTTTTAGCTTCTGTACATGGGATGGACATGATTCCTGTGTTATTTAACTTGGTCTTGCTGGCATTTCAAAGTAATAGGGTAGCTTCTCTCAAATTATTCGTTTTCACATTCCACATTTGTTTTCACAATTATTTGCTGATAATGATATGTATCATCAAGTTGTGCCTACATGTATCATCATATGATATGTATCATTAACTCTTAGTGCCTACATAGAGCCTTCTCCAAAGAGCTAGGATTTTCAGACAGCTCTAACATGCCTTCATCTTTTTCTTTTTTAATCCATGAAGGCCTTTCTGATCCTACCATTGGTTAGGTTCTTTATTCTTGGGAAAATAAAGTAGTATGTTTTTTTTATAATTTAAAATACCGAGTGCCTATGATGCATGTGAAGGACTAGGAAAACATGAAACTCCAGAACTTATCCTACTGTTTTTGCCATCCATACAAAGGCTTCAGTTTAAATGTACATGGTCATCCAGGAACACAAAAATGGAACATGCAAGACTCACTGGAATAATGAAGGAAAGGTTTAACCTACCAGAATCAACTTAGAAGATCACAAACAATATTAAAGTAGAAGTAGAAGATCAGAAATAGTATTGGGTAGCCATACAGAATATGCTTTAATTCATCCCTTTTCACGAATGAATGATCTGTTTTATCTCTTTTTCCTTTTAACTCCTTGAAGATGTGGGAGAAAGCCATCCAGTTAAGCAAAGAATTGGCTGACATGTACGAGAACAAAGTCTTTGACTATGAGAGCCTTGGCAATCTCTTGGTAAGAAAAGGAAGTCTTTAATTGTCTACTGGGTGAAGAATACTAAGAGGAAAGTCAATGGTATGGGTCCCAAAGACATTTCTTATGTTCCTGATTGAGAGACAAACAATAAATTAGAAGCTTGGAAAGCTGTAGTGCAAATGGGTGTTTAGAGTGAAGAAATGTAAAATAATAATAATAGTAATTTTAAATCACTGCCCAATCTACTCTTCTTTCTTGTTAACATGTACGTGCAGAAAAAACGGGCCACCTTCTATGAGAACATTATGAAAGCAATGAGGCCTCAACCAGAATATTTTGCTGTTGGATATTTTGGGCATGGATTTCCTTCCTTTCTTCGGGTAAGGATGCTAAGTGATGGTCCTGAATAACTCTGGAACGTAACCTACAAAGTTGTAATTATGATTAACTCCCATCTTTAATCCAAACTAACAGAAGAATGTTTGATTTGGGGTAATCCAAAGCATCTTCTCTAAATAAGCAGCACAGATACACCAGCTGCGGCTTGTCCCACTGATAAAGGGTTAACTGAAATACCATTTTCTAGTAATGCATGTAGGTAAATGTTGCTGCAAGTACCAGCAGATTTTGCTGTCACTGTTCATTCAAACTCCTTGTTGTTTTCCTCTTAGCCACAGAGAAATTGTTGTGGCTTTCTCAGAATGTATGTATGTATGTATTGTACAATTTATATACGACCCTCTTTAATGGCCTTAGAAGTAATACAGACTAGACTGAAAACAGAGAGAAATGCTAGAACAATATAGTCCTTGATTTAGAACCATTTGTTTATTGACTGTTCAAAGTTACAATGATACTTTCACACTTAACAATTGCTGGAACATCCCCATGGTCATTTGATCAAAATTTAGGTGTTCAGCAACTGGTATGTATTTATGACAGTTGCAATGTCCCAGAGTTGTGTGAGGAAATTAACTTAACGACTGTGGCAAGAAAGGCTGTAAAATAGGGCAAAACTCACTTAACAACTGTGTTACTTAGCAACAGAAATTTTGGACTCAATTGTGATTGTAAGTCGAGGACTGCCTATACCTCCTGAATTGTTTTTATTTCCATACAAAATTGGTTCATAAATAAAATCTACCAATTTCTATTATTTCCTTGATATTTAGCAAAGATATTGGCCATATTTACACAACATATTTAGCCAAATGTGATAGGGATTCTAGCTTATTGGTAACAAACATCCTAATACATTCTTCCTGGAAGGATGGAGTTGGAAAAATCTTGGCACTATATCCACAATTAAAATATCTGGAGTTCCAGACTTCTAATAAGCAGGACTTCAAAGCTGTGTTTGGGTTTTATAGGTCTTTATTTGTCTGAGCAAAGAAAGAGAAGGTCTTAGGTTTGAATGTACAGGTGAAACTCGAAAAATTAGAATATCGTGCAAAAGTTCATTTATTTCAGTAATGCAACTTAAAAGGTGAAACCAATATATGAGATAGACTCATTACATGCAAAGCAAGATAGTTCAAGCCATGATTTGTCATAATTGAGATGATTATGGCTTACAGCTCATGAAAACCCCAAATCCACAATCTCAGAAAATTAGAATATTGTGAAAAGGTTCAATACTCTAGGCTCAAAGTGTCCCACTCTAATCAGCTAATTAAGCCATAACACCTGCAAAGGGTTCCTGAGCCTTTAAATGGTCTCTCAGTCTGTTTCAGTAGGAATCACAATCATGGAAAAGACTGTTGACCTGACAGTTGTGCAGAAAAACATCAATGACACCCTCCATAAGGAGGGAAAGCCCCAAAAGGTAATTGCATAAGAAGTTGGATGTTCCCAAAGTGCTGTATCAAAGCACATTAATAGAAAGTTATGTGGAAGGGAAAAGTGTGGAAGAAAAACCTGTACAAGCAGCAGGGATGACCGCAGCCTGGAGAGGATTGTCAGGAAAAGGCCATTCAAAAGTGTTGGGGACTTTCACAAGGAGTGGACTGACACTGGAGTCAGTGCATCAAGAGCCACCACACTCAGACGGATCCTGGACATGGGCTTCAAATGTCATATTCCTCTTGTCAAGCCGCTCCTGAACAACAAACAACGTCAGAAGCGTCTTACTTGGGCTAAAGAAAAACAGAACTGGTCTGTTGCTCAGTGGTCCAAAGTCCTCTTTTCTGATGAGAGCAACTTTTGCATCTGATTTGGAAACCAAGGACCCAGAATCTGGAGGAAGAATGGAGAGGCACACACTGCCAGATGCTTGGAGTCCAGTGTGAAGTTTCTACAGTCTGTGTTGATTTGGGGAGCCATGTCATCTGCTGGTGTTGATCCACTGTGCTTCATTAAGTCCAGGGTCAATGCAACCGTCTACCAGGAGATTTTGGAGCACTTCATGCTTCCTTCTGCAGATGAACTTTATGGGGATGCTGACTTCATTTTCCAGCAGGACTTGGCACCTGCCCACACTGCCAAAAGCACCAAAACCTGGTTCAACGACTGTGGGATTACTGTGCTTGATTGGCTAGCAAACTCGCCTAACCTGAACCCCATAGAGAATCTATGGGGCATTACCAAGAGAAAGATGAGAGACATGAGACCGAACAATGCAGAAGAGCTGAAGGCCACTATTGAAGCATCCTGGTCTTCCATAACACCTCAGCAGTGCCACAGGCTGATAGCTTTCATGCCACACCGCATTGAGGCAGTAATTGCTGCAAAAGGGGCCCAAATCAAGTACTGAGTACATATACATGCTTATACTTTTCAGAGGTCCAATATTGTTCTATGTACAATCCTTGTTTTGTTGATTGCATGTAATATTCTAATTTTCTGAGATTGTGGATTTGGGGCTTTCATGAGCTGTAAGCCATAATCATCTCAATTATGACAAATCACAGCTTGAACTATCTTGCTTTGCATGTAGTGAGTCTATCTCATATCTTAGTTTCACCTTTTCAGTTGCATTACTGATATAAATGAACTTTTGCACAATATTCTAATTTTTTGAGTTTTACCTATATAATACAAAATATGTTTACCTCTCTGTATTATTGTTTATTCCATTCCAGGACTAACTACAAAAGTTTACTGTTTGTGAAGCCGGTTTCTCAGTGATTCTCCTTTTAGCTTTTGCACATTGCAAGCAGCATGTGATTATCCAGCAGTATTTATTTTATTTTATTATTTACTAGATTTATATGGTGCCCATCTCAATCTAAAAAACAACTCTGAGACTCTTGCAGTTAAAATCATAAATAAATATTGAACATATTAAAAATATTAAATACATTAAATAGAAAAGCAAGTTCAATACAGAAGCAGTCTCTTCCTAGTTAGTCCATTAGCCATCTCCAACAATAAGACCCCAAGCTTAGTAACTTAACCCAAGACCTGCCTAATTTTAGATAATAATTGGTTGAGACTCTGTTTTAGACTCAAGCCACCCCAATCAAACTCTTTTATCCACAAAACTCCATTGCTTGAGGTGCCTGCTCTGTTTTCCTATTCCCCCAATGCTGAGAATGTGGTTCTCCCAATTTAATATCTAATTCTTGCCTCTTTTAGAACAAGATGTTCATCTACCGTGGAAAGGAATATGAAAGGAGGGAAGACTTCATTGTGAAACTGCTCACCCAGTTTCCAAATGCTGAGAAAATGAGCAGCACCGCCCCACCAACAGATGATGTCAGAGCTTCTCTTAAGCAATGTATCTTTTGGAAAGGAAGAGAGTTTAGGAGCTAACTTAGATAACAAAGTTGATATGGAGAATAGAAAACAGGCAAAGTTGATGATGGGAGGCTTGAATCAGTCCTGGCTCACTTCTGGACTATACACAGTGTATTTATCTGGTCTATTTGCCACTGAGATCCAAATGGTTTGCCTGAAGTCCAGCATAAACTAGGCATTAAAGACAGAGGTTGGATGCTTGGATCCAAAGCAAGACTTGGAATCCAACTGTAAACCAATTTGGATTTCATTTTAAAGTTCCCTGCTAGATTCTGAGAATTTGAAAAACAAGTCCAATTTCCATTATTCTGTCTCTCAAAACAGATTAATGTCATAGATTTCATTGTTGGGTTTTTATATAACAACTTGTGGGTTATTTTTATTTTTTAAATGTCTGACTTCCCCACTCCTTTTTCTATTTTCCTAAGATTGATTTCTTCGAGCTGTCATTTAGGTTGTTTATTCTGCAAGTTGGTTGATATTTCCAGACTGTTTCAGGTGTCCTTCATATTCCTTGGAAAGTTGATACTGTAAGGCTTGTTGTAGGTACATCTGTAAACAGAGCTTTATTTCTCAACCTGGCCCAGTATTACCTGTATAATTTGGGAGTATCATTTTCAGCATATGTCTCTCTTTTCACCTATGAAAAAGAGAGAAACATGTCTTTCTCTTCTTTAATTAGAAATAGCAAGGAAAGCTTGCACACAGTGCTTTTCTGCTTACACGATTAGTGTGGTGACCATATGCTAAGTACAATCTTTTAGTCCTGCTTTATAATCAGTATAAAGTATCTACACTAGCTCTTTCCATCCTGATATTACAACTATCCCAAATGAAATCTGGAAGTGTTCATATTGGATAAAGATATTCAACACAATTGTCAACATATCAGTTGCCCAATCCACTTAGCTTTTGGCTGCATTCACACAAAAAGCTTAACCTGGTTACCAAGGTTCTGCATTCTTGCAGGACACTGAAATAAAAACTAGCCATTAGCCTGGATTTACACAATACCATAAGACACCTTCCAAACCTAACCATAATTGACATTTATCAAGCTTAACATGTCTGAATGCCACCGCTAGGATTATAACTTACTTCGTTTAGTTCATAGGGAAAAACAATTGTTGGGCTTGTAGCCCCTCCCATTTAAATATTCTTTTTAATGAGGGATGGATTGTAGGATCTTCTTGTCCACCGTCTCATTCCTTTTTTCCTTAATTTGTACATACAGACATACAGTGTTTTTTAGTTAAGCCTGTCATGAATCTTCCTCCAAGCTACAAAGATAAACCTGTTCCAGAGCAGATTCTAAAGTAAGGATTCAACCCCAATTTATATCTCTGCATCTAGAAATAAATTACTTCGCCAAGGGATGCTTTACCCTGTTTCCATAAAGATCAAAATGCAGAAAGACCGACTTCTACATTCTTGACAGCTGAAGGCATGAATTAACCTATTCCCACCGTAGCAGACAAGTCTGATTGTTTCATAGGGATGTATCTGGAACTACGATTTTGAAATGTTTAGATGGAGCATTATATCAGATCATTTAAATACCCTGCTTCTTATATGCCACTAAGCCATAGTTTAGCCTTTTTGTTGAATAAAATTCAGTAATTTAGCCAAAATTGAACAAACCACAGAAATGTAGGAAATTGAATGAAGTATCTGTTTAGCATGCATTCATGTGTTCTACTGCATTCAATATCAACTAACCTGGATTGTTATAGTACTGATATCAGATTTAGATTTTGGGTGTTGGTTGAGATTTTAAGTAGTTTTTGTCTGCTGCTTTAGTTTTTATAGATCCAATGAAGTGCAACAGTTCCAACACTCACGGCCTTTCCGGAAAGGAGAAAAAGATCCCGAGAATGAATTTGCAGTGAGTCATTTCTTCTCTGCCATCCTTGTCACTTTTTCCTTTGATGATGTGACACCATGCTTTTCATATGTTGGCTTGTCTAGCTTGATTCTTTGGTTCCTCAATTTTGGAGGCTTAAATTATTGCATTTTGGTACAAAACACACAACAAGCAATAGGACATAATTATCAACAGTTATACAAAATCTTTATTCATACAAAGTCCTTTGTCTAGGGATGGAACACAAGTCTGGGTTATTTTTGTTGCTAGAGTTGCATCTTTTGGGACCTTAACAAAATTAAGTGATATGATAGTAAAGTGAGTGGGGAATAGATAATAACATAGTTTAACCCCCAGAATATAACGATCACTCTAACTTCAATTTCAGAAGAATGAGGGGAGGGAGAAAGTCCTATTTTAAGTCATATGGGAAATGTGATCCCCTTATTCTTTGACTAAACCAAGTTGTTCAGCTTCAATTTTAGTTAATATTGCCTGTGCTGACTAGCAGTTGGTCTTGAGCAACTCTTATTTCAAATGAAAAATATCAGAGAACTTTGGAAAGAAAAGAAGAATTAGAGGCAACAAGATAGCACTATTCCAGTATTTGAGAGGCTGCCACAAAGAAGAGGGGGTCAAATTATTCTCCAAAGCACTGGAGGGCAGAAGAAGAAGCAATGATTGGAAACTAATCAAAGAGAGAAGCAACCTGGAATTAAGAAGAAATGTCCTAACAGTGAGGACAATTAACCAGTGGAATAGCTTACCTTCAGAAACTGTGGGTGTTAAAAGCCTCACTGGAGGCTTTTAAGAAGAAACTAGACAGCCACTTATCTGCTTGAGCAGGGGGCTGGGCTAGAAGACCTCCAAGGCCCCTTCCAGCTTCTATTCTATTCTTTAAAATACAACTTTTAGAACATCATCTCTCAACCTAGCTAAGGGGACACAGGAAATTGCTGGTATAATATAGGTGGTCCTTTCACGAGGCATTAGGAGGTCTAGGTGATTGAAAAACAAACTGGAACAATCTTTTTTCCAATGGCTCTGACTTCAGTGTAGCCTAGGTCTTTACATAAAGGCCACCCAACTCCTTGCTCTTTCTGGTTTCGTTTTATTTTTGGGTTCTTTGAATCAAGTAATGAATGTGCAACTAGGTGCAGATCATAAGCAGTAAGATGCAAGAAGTCCAATGACTTCTTTAGGCATTGGGTAGAACCCCTCAGCCCTGAGATATTTTTTGGAAAAAGATAAGATAGTAGACAACATCCTTAGGAACTAAGTAGTTTCACTTTTCCTTGGATAAATATTGGATGGATGACTGCACCCAACTTGACAGTCAATACTTATGAAAGCATCGTTCCCTAATTGTCAAAAAAGTTGACAATCCCTGGGCTCCAATAACGCTGTTATGCCAGATTATGAGTCAAAGCCAACAAAATGACATCCTTCCATACTGTACAGGTAGTTCATTTAGTGACTTTACAACATCACTGAGAAAAGTGACACGGCCATTTTTTCACACAAACAACTGTTGTAGCATCTCCATGGTCACATGATCAAAATTCAGACCATGGGCAACTGACTCATATTTATGGCCTTTGCAATATCTTGGGATCATGTGATCACCTTTTATGACCTTCTGACAAGCAAAGCCTATGGAGAAGCCAGATTCACTTAATAACGATTCTACTAACTTAACTACTGCAGTGGTTCACTTAACAACTGTGGTAAGAAAGGTCAAAAAATGGAGCAAAACTTATTTAACAAATGTCTCACTTAGCAACACAAATTTTGGGCTCAATTGTGGTCGTAAGTCAAGGACTCCCTATACTCAAACCATGTTATGACTTCATATGATTACCTAGTCCCCACTACATCGTGAGCCACACATTCAATTTTAGCCTATACCAGGCCTGTCAAACTAGCGGCCCACGAGCAGGCCACGCCCACATCACCTCATAAGCAGGCCACACCCATTCCATCTCACATGCAGGCCATGCCCACACCAGCTCCACAAAGGTAAAAAACATTACAATATGTCACAATGCATCATGTGATGCGATCGAGTTTGACACCCATAGACTAACATGACACAAATGTATGCATTAGATTGATTTGGGGAAAAATGAGTTTCTGATTCTTGGTCCCTTCATTCTGCTAAGGAAGGGCTAAGAGAGAACATTCCTTGCATCGGTGTAATATAAAATATACATACGTTTTATGTCTTGTTCCTTTTTGGGGGGTTTTCTCTTCTTAGACTATGTGGATAGAACGTACCACCTACACAACAGCCTATTCTTTCCCCGGAATCCTCAAATGGTTTGAAGTCAAGCAAGTCACTACGGTGAGATCTGGAGAAGCTTTCCTAGCCATCTCTAATTTAGCCTCCCCAACTTGGTAGCCTTTAGATGTCTTGAGTTTTCAGCTAATTTGGGAGCTAAGAATCCATCATTTCTGGAGATTGACAGGCTAGAGAAGGCTTGATTTACTGTGACATTTTTTTCTTCCACACCTTCTCCTTAGACAAGTTCAAGGGACCTTCGATTTCTTACCAATCTTCCAGTGATGGGATTCATATTTTTTTTACTGCTGGTTCTATGGGCATGGCTTGGTGGGCGTGGCAGGGGAAGGATACTATAAAATCTCCAGTCAGAGGTGGGATTTGCCGGTTCTCTGAACTACTCCAAAATTCCGCTACTGATTCTCCAGAAGTGATCAGAATCTGCTGAATACCACCTCTGCAACTTTCCCAAATTTAATATCTCTTATGTGCCCAAGAGGAAATGCTTACAAGCATTCAAGGGCAGTTGGATACACAACTGGAGTGTATTTTGCTTTTAGCACTGGAGTTTTTGTGTTAAAGGAATCAATCAAACAAACAAACATTTGTCAATGCACAACATGTGTACAATGAAATTGAAAAGGTCTCCATCTTTATTTTTCTCTGCAATAATTCCATTATTTACCTGCAAAGTTTGCTAAGCTAGGCTTTCCTTTTCTCACTCCCCCTACTTTAATGTCAGTTTGGCAATTATATGGACAGATCCATATCATTTAGTAAAGTGAGATTTTCTAACTCAGAAATGGGAAGCTGCTGCCTTCCAATCCCACAGAGCAAGCCACAGCTTGCTTATTTATTACAGTTTATTTTAGTCCTTCCTCTGAATGTACATTTATTTTGGTCCTTCCTCTAAATGTCTCTATAGTATCACAATCCTTCAAGGGTTTTATTTGGCCCAAGGTTACTCCGGTGGGCTTTGGCTATGCAGTAGCTTAACTTGTGCAGACTTAAAAGTTTTGTTACATTGAGCACAGAAACTGCTATCCTCTTAACCTGAGTTTAAGTCTTGTATAATTAACAGCTGATTCATATGTATATACTTGAAAGTGAAACTAGGAGTAATTTGTTAAGTTATTTCCTGAAACTGGCTGTTGAAAAGAAAAGAAAAGAAAAGAAAAGAAAAGGGGACAACAGATGCAAGAGACAAACCTTGAAAACTAATATGTTTCCCCTTTTTTTGAAATATGAGATTTTAGTTAGTATCTCCTATGAAATTGAGGTAGTAGAGTCCCTAAGTGACCTTGTAGTGGTGGTATTCAATTTTTTTTACTACCGGTTCTTTGGGCATGGCTTGGTGGGTGTGGTGTGGCTTGGCGGGCGTGGCAAGGGAAGGATACTGCAAAATCCCCATTCCCTCCCCACCCCACTAACCTGCTTTCCAGCTCCGTTCTCCTGTGTGGGGCAACCAAAGAAGACCCAGTCAATCAGCTGGGACTCAGTGGGAGGCAGAGAAGAGATGGGGGCGGGGCCAGTCAGAGGTGGTATTTGCTGGTTCTCCGAACTACTCAACATTTCTGCTACCAGTTCTCCAGAACCTGTCAGAATTGGCTGACTATCACCTCTGCTTTCAAGGTTGAGTGAACGACCAGGATCTAATTATGAACGTTGCCCAGTGAAGGTTATGGAGTGGGGAAAGTTGGTTTTCTGTTGAAATGTTCACTGCCTAGTATCAGTTACTTCATTGTAGTCTTGACCGTAACTCATTTTTGTGGTGGTTTCCAGGAGGAGATCAGCCCCTTGGAGAACGCCATTGAAACCATGGAGCGGACAAATGAGAAAATCAGTAATTGCGTCCAGCAACATGCTTGGGACCGTGCCCTGCCTGTCCATCCCCTCTCCATGCTCTTGAATGGCATTGTGGATCCAGCAGTAATGGGTGGATATACCAACTATGAGAAGGTTGGTGGTTATCTCCTTGCTCTCTGTTGTAGGTCACATAACTGTCTTGGGAACAGGACAGTTGTGTTAGCTTCCTAAAACAGGGAGGCAAAGTCCTAAAATCTAGCTACATGAATAGCACTATAGAGAATTTGGAAAAGAACCCTTGCAGCGGTTGGCACTAAATTTAAGGGTGGAAGTCAAAGGATTTGGTTTCCATTCATTAAAGCATTATTTTTTTCTGTAGTAATAGGTACATTTTGGTGAGCTATGGACCTCATTTTGGTGAGCTATGGACCTTATAATAATAACTTAATAAACTTAATTAGTGAGTACTTGACGTTCTGGAATTTTAATTTAAAATGAAAAGGAACAAGGAAAGTACAGACTACAGGCAAAGATGAACTCTAAATGAAAAGGACAGATATAGGAGATCTTTTCTAACCTGCCCCTCCTCCGTTTTCCCCCTTTATTGAAATTTCATCAAATATTGTATATATTTTGCTAGCGTCCCAGAGGTGCTTTTTCAACAGGCAACTGGTCTTTCTTTGTTTTTCCTTGAAGATGTTTTGCTTCTCACCCAAGGAACTTCTTCATTTCTCAACTTCTGGGATGAGTAGCGAAACATTTTCAAGGAAAAACAAAGAAAGCCTAGTTGCCTTTTGAAAAAGCACCTTTGGCACTATCGTGACCTGGATGACAGAATCTCCATAGATGTATATAGTGATAATTAGGGGTGGGATTCAAAATTTTTAACAAAAGGTTCTGTGGGCATGGCTTAGTTGGTGGGCATGGCTTGGTCATGTTATTAGCTGGGTGTGGCCAACTCAATATCACTCACATCTCCTCGCCTGGCCTCTCATGAGCGTGGGGATGCTGCAACAGTCATAAGTGTGAAAAATGGTCATAAGTCACTTTTTTCAGTGCCATTGTAACTTTGAATGGTCACTCCACACAAGCAAAGTACCAGCAAAGGAGGGGGAAAAAAACTCCAGAGAGGTTCCTGAAACAGGAAGTCTAGTCCTGCCCAGAATGTAATAAGGGTTAACGGAGAGGCAGTTTCTGTAAGCAACACCAGAATGTTTCCTTCCTGCCTTCCTTACAGGATTAGGCCAGTAATTTCTTCTAACAACCGGTTCTCTGAACTGCTTAGAATGTTAACAACCAGTTCTAGCGAATAGGTGCGAACTGGTAAAATCCCACCCCTGGTGATAATCTATTGCGGATTATCTACCCACAATAGAAATGGCAATCTTTTAATGTACATAATGTATTTGGGGGAGGAATAAGAAATCCTGCATTTTACACCCATCTTAAGTTTCCAGATACTTTTCAGTGACTCACATTATGATATCCACCTCATCCTCAACTTACAACCATTCATTTAGCAACTATTTGAAGTTATGGTGGCAATGAAAAAGGCGACTTACAACTGGTCCTCACACTTATGACCATCACACCATGATCACAGGGTCAAAATTATGACAGTTGCTGTGTCTCAGAGTCATGTGATCACCATTTGCAACTTTTCCAGCTGGAAATCAAATTTGCTTAATGACCATGTGATTCACTTAATAACAGCAGTGATTTGTTAACAATCATGACAGCAAAGGTCACTATTCATTTAACCGCTGCTATTGTTCCATTGTTTAGCAATGGAAATTCTGATGCCAACTGTGGTTTTAGGACAAGGACTACCTGTACACATATTACATCACCAACCTATCCAGGATCAAAGTCTTTTGCTCCTTAGGATTTCAGTTATGGATAGTGCGGCAATGCACTCAACCCAATGTGCTTCCGGAAAACAGGATTTTGGGCTAGAGGTGTAAAGATCATTGCAAACCCCTGTGCACATCTGGAAATTAGGACGAGTGAAACATCTTAATGTTTGGGTCTCCCTATTATCACCCATGAGCAGGGCTTACTTCTAGCTAGGACATATTACTATCACTTTGATGCACAGTGGGTACCATTAGAGTGGAAAGCTTTGTGATACAGGCAGCCAGCAAAGGGTCCAATTGCGGCGTTGAGGAAGGATCCATTTTCAGCCAAGGAAATATTTTGAGCTCCCGCTTCTCTATTTTCAGTGCTAAAGTTAGATTTGCAAAAATGGAAAAGCGGTCACGCCTTCCAAATGGGGTTGCCACATCTGAAAGCTATCAGCCTGGGTTTTTTTGCTCACTTTTTCCTCTCCCTGACTCAGCTGGGGTAGGGAGTTGGGCTTTTGTGGGTACTTAATAATAATAATCTAAATCTTTCTTTCACATTAAAAACCAGAAATCAATGTCCTGCACAAATCATTTGGCCTCCCTTGTTTGGGTATATGGTTTTCTGACAAGGCTCGGCACTTCGGATTCTAGCTGATGGAATTTTGTGGGTTTTATCCTGTTGCCACAATACCTTCTCCCCTGCTAGTCAGGGTTTTACTTATTTATTTTTAAAGAAGTGAACAGCTTCACAGTTTAGTTTTCTGCTTATATATTGTCCTGTATATGTACTTGCTTATATATTATCCTGTACTGTTGTATACCTCTGAGTAGGACTGGAGAAGATGAGATCTTCCAGATGTTCTTAAATTATCCCCAGTATGCCCATCAACGGGGAAAAAATAACGGAGTTGGAAGGGACCTTGGAGGTTTTCGAGTCCAGGGGTCGCCAACCTTTTGGACTTCAGGGACCACCAAACTCATAATTTCAAATCCTGCGGACCACTAATATGAATTTTGATTGATGGTTGCTTGCTGACGTTGGTGGGAAAATAGGTCCCATATTCCAGAGCTGCAATAGTCACAGAACTGGCTGTTTGGTCATCCCGGAGCAGCTCCTCCAGTCCATGGCAGGCCTGGGTGGAGGAGTAACTGCTCCAGGATGACCAAAGGGCCAGTCCTGTGACTACTGCAGCTCTGGAATATGGGACCGACTTTCCCACCAATGTCAGCAAGCCACCCCAGGGCAGATTTCCCTCCCCCACTGTTGGCCTTACCTTCCAGCTCGCATGGCTCTACTGAAGGTAAGGTTTGTGCTCGGCCAAAGGGTGGTGGCCAGGGGATGGGGAGGCCATGTGGGCAAGTGCAGCCTTGTGTTCCCATGCAGCCTGGATTAATTGCTTTGGGGGGAGTGCTTTGGGGAGACATTTCTGTACGGACCACCAAAATTTTCTCATGGACCACCAGTGGTCCCCAGCCCACCGGTTGGTGACCACTCTTCTAGTCCAGCCCTCTGCTCTAGCAGGAGACCCTGCTTGAATTTCTAGGATTAATGTCAAGCATCGGGGAAATGAGGAGATTCAGGCAGTTCAAATGAGTATAAAGCTTAAGCTCTCTATAAGAATCTGAACTACTAACAGCCAAGGGAAATTAGCAGGAGTTAAGAAAGGAATTCAAGCTTTCACTTCGTACACACCGGAAGAGGAGGCTGAAAAAATTGCTGAGTAACAGCTACCATTAAGCAGCGTTCTCCCTCGGCTGGTCATCTCCTTACAATTAAAGATTCTAGGAAAGCTAGTATTGTAATTCTGCAACATTTGTAAAGCTGCACATTCCCCATACATGCCTTTGAGAATCAATTCTGCTCCTATTTCTGCCACTCTAAGCCCAAGTATTATTTGTTTCTTTAATAACATTATGGAAATTGGCTTTGGTGAGCCAAGTTGCTTTGGCTGCTCATCAGTTGATATAAAAGGGTGTTTCTGCCATGTTAGATCTGACCAAGGATACATTAAGTTTGTGATTTATTTGCCGAACTTTGTGTTTTTCTCACATCTATTCATCTTGCTCCTTTTCTCAGCCTCTCTGTGATCTTAAGTTAGATTAGGAAGGCAACTTCTAAGCTGAATTGTGGGACTAAGCCTAATTCATCTTAGTCAAAGGATACTGTCCTTTTTTCTTTTTTCTTCCATTCAATATTGTGCGATTCTGGATATGTCCCTGTAGGTTTCAGTAGAGATGCTGCACTCATGTCAGAAGCACTGAGGACCAGCTGGGGCTCCTTAGTGTCCCCGGGAGGAGCTGGAGTGAAGGATGAGAACTCAACCCTGCCCCACATAAGTCTCAAGTCTCAACTGTTGGTTCATTAACCTCCTGTCCAGCATTCCACCCAGAAGTGGTATTTAGCCGGTTCGCACCAGTTCATGCGAACTGGTAGCAAGGATTTGGCATGGTGCTCCAAACCAGTAGTAACTTCTGGTTGGCCATGCCCCCAACTTGGTCACCCCTCCCCTCTCCCTGCCCAGTCAGTCCTTATCGCGCATGCGCAACATCACGTGCATACCCAACATCACTGATTGCATTCTTCCCTGCCCAATCACTCCTTAAAGTATTTCTTTTTTTCCCCCCTCCCGCTGATCAGCTGTTCCTATGATCAGCTGTGCCAGGATTCCCCTCACTGTCTTACTGCTTTGCCCGGGAGGCTTCCCTGAGGCCCAGGAGGCCCCAAAATGGAGCACAGGGGGTGCTGCATGTCTCCCCCTGCTCCGTTTTTTTCCTTCCTGAGCCCCAGGGAATCCATTGGAGAGAATATGTCTCGGAATGATTGATATCATGGATATCAATCCTTCTGGGAGCAAAAACGCACCTCCCCCCCCCCCAGGAGGCTTTGCCTGAGGCCCAGAAGGCCCACAAAACCAGGGCAGGTGCTGCAAAAAAGCCACGCCCACCCAGTCACATGGCCACACCCATCTGGCCATGCCCACAGACCCGATAATAATAAAAAAATTGAATCCCACCTCTGATTCCACCCCTCAAACTACCGTGCTTCTTTTCAGTAGAGACGAATCTGGAAGACTATGAATAGTTGCTGTGTGATTCCGGCCTGGATCCACAGCATTTCCAAGGAGCAAGTGGTTGTTTTGTTTTGTTTAAAAAAAAAGATAACATGACATTCATTATGATGGTGTTCAAAAAATTCCAGAAACAGAAATTCATGCATTGAAAGAAAATAGTAAGCATTTCGAATAAAAAAATAAGAAATGTGTTGTTTACATGGAAAGTGTGGAATGTTTGTATATAATGTTTTCTTTGGGTTTTTCAGCTATATTATGCTGTGGCTGACTCTTCGTTTCCATTTAAAACTCATCTTTCTACCAAGAAGTCAGACAGGCTGCAATTAGTACTCTTTATCCTTTATGTCTTGTTTCTGGAGAGAACTGTTAAGTTCAGAATATTGTGGTATGGATTAGGGATGTCGGAAGCCCCAAAATAGTATATCATCCCATAGTTCCTGAAAGAACTTAGGGGACCAAGCACAAAGCAATTAAAACAAAACTGTGATATTTATGTGCAAGGATTGAAACTTTTCAAGGGCTAAGAACCATTATTCACTCATTCTTAGGAAGCTAGCTAGCCCTTTCTGCTTATCCTCAGAAATCAGAGTTTAAAGAATGTGGTGAGATTTTGCATAGCATTAAAATAAAAACACATAAGATTCTATCCTGTGCCTTTAGCTTCCTTATTTAAAAACAGGTTTATTCATAGTATGAAGTTTTTGTAGAGTCATTATGAAGTTGGAGAGGACAATAGGAATAATCTAATCCAATTTACTGCTGGAAAACCAGATAAATTATCCCTGAAAGACAGCTGTCAATCTGCTTCTTAAAAACTTCTAGAGATGGAAAATTTTCAATCTTCATAGGCAGAGACTATTCATTCTCTCCCTCCCTCCCTCCCTCTCCCTCTGCCTCTCTCTGTAAAATTGAAAGTTTTAAGAAGAAGATAAAAACTAAGACACTGATACTGAATAAAGAAAACAGAAGACAGAAAAAGAGAGTAGGAAAGAAAAGCAGAAAAAAAAATAGAAAGAAGCTTCCAATTTTCTTTGCAGCAAATACAAGTATTACAAAGTTATTTCTTACACTATAGTTACAAAAAAAACCTCTCACTCTTTGTATTATTTATTTTTCACCACAAATGTTAACTGCATTTTGTTCTAGTTCATGAAAAAAGGAGAAGGGGGGTGTGTGCCTTCCAATCAGTGATAATTTATCATCTTTTTCCTAATTAAGAAAGTCAATTTAGCCATCTCTGAAGTTCATTCATTCATCTCTTCACCAGTCATTCCTTATTGAGGATATGTTAAACTTTTTCACCTCTGAGCATTGACTTATCTTGCTGAAGTTATTGTATATAAAAATAATCTTCAATATGTTTTTCTTGCCGTCCATATAGCTTGATTTGGTTCTCTTCATTATAGGATCAAACATTTAGCCTGTATTCTTTTTTCATTTCATCCCTGCAGGCCTTTTTTACTGAGAAATATGTTCAGAGGCATCCTGAAGATCAAGAAAAGATTGAATTACTCAAACAACTAATTGCCCTACAGGTACCTATAGGAATGCAGATGTGGAAATATGTCCATAGGCTGTTTTGCAGAAGTAATATTGTCATCGTGGTGTAACTTTTTCTGAAGTGGCATCTTACAGATGTTGGGATTTCACCTGGCCAGAATTCTACCTGCTGTTATTGTAGCTTCATGTTAGCAAGATGACAGGCAACTTGTACTGCCCATAAAAAAAAAACATTACTAGTTGGGTGCAATGGTTAAGGCAGCAGGCTAGAAACCAGGAGACTGTGAGTTCTAGTCCCATTGTAGACACGAAACCAGCTGGATTACCTTGGGCCAGTCAGTTTCTCTCAGCCCTAGGAAAGAAGCAATGACAAACTACTTCCAAAATTTTGTCAAGAAAACTGCAGGGACTAATCAGTCACGGAGCCAATAATGATTCAGAGGCATACATACACACAACACTAAAATGCTTCCCAAAGCATAACAACTAAGCATAGAAGTGCAACATAAGCTATAGAAAGGCATTGTTTCTTGGCATATTTGACATAATTTATTGGTTAAACTAGAAATAATCACAAAAGTGCTAAGGAAATCATTTGAAGGCAATCTTATTTAAGATATAAAAATAATGCTTGGTGAAAAAGCATGAGCTCTGCATGCAGAATATTTAAGTTCTGACTAATAGAACAACCCAGTGCTTCAAATTCATAGACCAAAGGTGTTTTGAAATAAATAGGGGCATGCACGTATCTCTTGTGTGCAACGTCTTAAACCAAATGATTTTTTTTCAGAATTATGCAATCCAGCTGAGTTGAAGGAGTTGCAGACAGATGCTACATTCACACCTTCATGGACCCTTGAAGCACCTTTTTTTGCCCTTAAAGCCAAAGTTTTACACAATACTAATAACTATCAGCATTAACTTAGAAACATAGGAAGCAAGATAAAAGTAAACATTCCAGATGTTTGATTCTTGATAGGGATTATATAATCATGTCCATGTTATCAGAGCCATGGTGGCTCAGTGGGTAGAATGCAGAACTGCAGGCTACTTCTGCTGATTGCAATTTGGCAGTTCGATTCTCACTGACCCAAAGTTGACTCAGCCTTCCATCCCTCCAAGGAGGGTAAAATGAGGACCCAGATTGTTGGAGACAATGTGTTGACGCTGTAAACCACTTAGGGCTGTAAATCACTGTGAAGCGCTATATAAGTCTAAGTGCTATTGCTAAGTGCTATGGCTATCAGTGATACAAAGTGGTTTGGCATTGTCTTTGACTGGAATTCTTCTTTTATTCTCAGTCTAATATGTCTTGGTGATTTGTGGTTAAAGTGCTAGTCAAGTCCAACATGCCTAACCTTTTCACTTAGGAAAAAAAAACCATGAAGACGCCCACAGTCAGTTGCTGACCAACAGGCTAAATCAGAGATTTGATTCATATCACATTAAGCCCTAATGAAGTTTGTTGCGGTCTGATTTATAACTTGCAAACCAGGCATAAGCCATGGTCTAGAGCTTCTCATGTTGTGTGAACTCACCCAATTATGCTTCATTGATATTTATTTAGAACACATTTTATCTTGCTGATGGTTAAACATAACTCCTCAGTTAAACATAGCTCCCAACCAGGATGCAAATAAACAAACAAAGCATGAAACCAGAGATCAGAATTGTGACAAAAAAAGAGTTGAAAAGGCATTGGGATTCAAGCGCATCTTCAACCATAAAAATATGGGAGAAAACATGGAAGAAGAGCGCTAGATAAATTCACTTGATCTGAAGGAAAGGTGAGATAAAAGAACACTCCCATCAGAATTAACAAGACAAGCCACTTGTATGTAAACAGAGAGCAGACCCCACTCCCAGCACTGATGAAATTACCTAGTTGGGTAACGAAATGTCTGCAGTAAAACAACCAAGCTCAGAGAGCACCAAGGACTCCAGTTGATTTAAGTTTACCCAAATGAGCATGAATCTAGCTATGTCTAAGCCTGGCTTGGCCTCATTGGTAAGCTTAGCCAAGAAATATCCAAGATGAGCCTTCTTGTTTTCCAAATTATATTTGAAACTGCACTGGTACTTCAGTACACATTGGCAATTTGTTCCAGAAGATGTGCTGAATACTAAAACCAATGAGTAGTGAGAAAAATCACATAATTTATCATGTGGCCTGCTATTTTGGCCAGAAGAAATAGCGAGTCACAAGGCAATTGACATCAGCAAGTTCTTCCTTGTGTGTTGATTCCTAGGAGAAAGATGAGTCCCAGGGCAGGATTTCTGCTTCAAAATGTGCTGAATATTGAATTCAATGAGTTTTGAAGCAGTCAGGTGCTAAGATATGAACTGTCTGCCTCTGTGCTTCCTTAACCTTCTGATCCGGCTTACCTCTTGCAGATGCCTTTGCTGGCTGAGGGGATTAGAATCCATGGAAAGAAACTGACCGAGCAATTGAAGCCTCTTCATGACAGGCTGACCTCTTGCTTCAAGGAGCTGAGGGAGAAAGTGGAGAAACTCTACGGTGTGATCACCCTGGTATAAACTGAGCATTGCTTATGAAAAGCCATAGGAATGAGATCATTGTAGCAAGGACAAGGGGATAAGCAAATCTGTGAATTTTCATTTCTTCCAGTTTCTCATTTGGGGGAATATGCCAAGTTCTAGTTATCCAAATTGATTTTAAAAAATTAAATTCAAGTATTATTAAATTAAAGCATTATTAAATAAATAAATGCATTTTCATTAAATGCACATTTCTCCAAATATAGGCATTTCTGTAATATATGTCTAATTAATGCATGCAGTTTTTGCAAAACCATGTTCCTAATGCAAGGTGCATTTTTATGATTTTCATGAGTGTATTCACTAATACACTAGAGGCTTTTCCATGTGTGTACATATATATATATATACACATACACATACACACACACATACATACATACATACATACATATATAATAAACATTTCTTTTTGTCAAACTGCATTGCAAATTTGAGGAACTGGGAATTTCAAATGAGAATTACGTTTTGTTTTAAATGTTGGGAGTGGAGCAAAGCTGACAAAGACAAACCAACTACATAGTTGGTTGTTTTGAGTGAGGTGAATAAATTCAGCCAAGTTTTCTCCTGTGGTGATGTGACCAGCTATGGTGGGAAACGGTTGTTCTTATTTAATGAAGAACTGGCATTTTCCTGATCCTAGAATATCTTGAAGGCATATACAACCACAAATGAAAACACCATACAAGGAAGAAATTGTAAAGCGAAAGTTCATACTATCTGGCTTTGTGCCCAGACCCAAAGCCCCACATGTGTGGTAGGGGGGACCCTTTTTTGTTTCTATTAGTGATTATGGGATATAATATTTTCCCAGCTGCTATGTATTTTAACTTTTGTGTTGTTGCAAAAGGAAGGGAGGGAGGGAGGGAGGGAGGAAGGAAGGAAGGAAGGAGGGAAGGAAGGAAGGAAGGAGGGAAGGAAGGAAGGAAGGAAGGAAGTTAGTTAATACCCAACCGGTAGCACCCATATTTAATCCATTCTCTAAAATTTTAAAGGGGAACAGCTTGGGTGTCACCACTCCTTTTTCCTAGTGAATCCCAGATGACAAATAATGGGATAACTCACAAAATCTTCTCCAGTGATTTTAGCTATCACTTGAGCCTATACTGGAAAAAGCAGTTTGCAGGATAATTTGTTCCTGGGGTTTACATTGAACCTGGCGTGTAACTGATGGCCACTTTTAATGTAGTCAAAAGACCTTCAGCCAGACAGATGATTGCAAAAGAGCAAAGGTGCTCCTGAAACTGTGGAGGTGCCAGACTAGACCCTTTTTCCAGAGCTACCTGGCCTTATAAAGAAATTTCAGAACTTTTTGTTGTTAGTTGCAAATTCGTGTCCGACCCACCGTGACCCCATGGACAATGTTCCTCCAGGCCTTCTTGTCCTCTACCATCCTCCGGAGTGCATGTAAGCTCACACGGACTGCTTCAGCCCCCTCATTCTCTGCCATCCTCTTCTTCTTCTTTTGCCCTCAATCTTTGCCAGCGTTAGGCTCTTCTCCAGTGAGTCCTTCCTTCTCATTAGGTAACCAAAGATTTTGAGTTTCATAATTTACATCTCTTCAAAAATGGGTTCGGGGGAAGAACCTCTAAAGTTTCAGAAGATGAGCAAATAACCTTCGATTTATTTCACAAGCTTCTTTGTATTCTAACCGTAGCCTTCCTCGCTGACGGAAAGAAAACAGAGCAGGTCTGGTTCAGTGGTTTTGCCATACATTATGTCCTCCACATTGAGAAGGTTGTCAGTTACTTCTGTCACTTCTTCAGTCGGATCAACTTCATCTACATCATCTGACAGTGTTTCCTCCAGACCGGGATCTGACGGGTAAGTTGATGGGAAGGGTAGAAAGGGAACTTTGATAGAAAGGAGTCTGTGAGGGAAATGCAAAGAGGAGGATTTCTATTACCTTGACCCATTTGATGTTTTCGTCTTTTTTTTTCTAGGTTTTTTTATACCACCGTTAGTGTTGGTAGCTGATATAGGTAGCCCTCAACTTAACACAACACAATTGAACCCCAAATTTCTATTGCTGAGTTTTGCCCCGTTTTACACCCTTTCTTGCTACAGTTATTCAATGAATCACTGCACTTGTTAAATTAGTGACACGGTTGTTAAGTGGATCTGGTGTCCCCATTGACAGATGGTCACAAAAGGGGATCACATGACCCCCGGGATGCCGCAACTGTCATAAATATGAACCTGTTGCCAAGCACCCCAATTTTGATCGCATGACCGTAGAGATGCTGCAATGGCCGTAAGTATGAAAAACTGTCATAAGTCACTTTTTTCAGTGCCGTTGTAGCTTTGAAGGGTCACTAAACAAATGGTTGTAAGTCGAGGACTGCCTGCAAAGTCAGTGATAACAAATAAATAATAGGAAGCAATCACCGAGACTATGATCTCTTGTCAAATTACTTCACGTCTCCAGAAAACAAGAAATATTATTTTTTTCAGGCTGTCCAGAAGAGACAGGGTATAATTCTTTATGACAGTATTTCTGTGTGGGCTACAGATCAATTCTTGAGCCATTGATGGAAAAGAGAAGCTCAGCAGCTTCCAGGATGGAAGAACAGCCTGCCAAAGATGATGCAGACACCCGGGCTAATAAATTCCGTCGGAAAGACTGGAGTCTCAGTAAATCTCAGGTTATTGCAGAGAAGGAGCCAGAGGCTGAGTTGGCTTCCAAAACGGTAATAAATGCATCAGAGTGATGAATTTCCAATGGGAACTTATGTCATTTTCCTCCTAGCTGTGCAAGCTTTGTTAAAAGAGAAGTTGGGAGGGATTCTACTAGCAGAACATTTGATAAACACCTCAAAGGGTATCTATGTCTATCTAGATTAACCTGTGTTAGTTCCTCCGAGCTCTCAGTCGCAGCTATAATCATAATCCATGTTCCAAGTCTCTCTAAATCTCTACTAATCATCCTATTGTTGAACCAATTTATGTTTTAGAGTTTGACCTGGGCTTCCATTTGGGTTGGGCTGTATCTATCATCAATCCCAGTACCCAGGGGTGGGATACGACAGGGTTAACTACCAGTTCGGGATTTACGAGCTTCCCTGCAGGCTGCGAGCCACGCGCCTGTAAATCGTCATCAGCAGCTGCCTGCAGAAGAGCAGCCTTTGAAACGCCTTCTTTTCCTGCTTTTCTAACTGCAGCTGTGCCTCGTTCAGCAGCTGAAGTTGAAAAATCAGGAAATAAAAATCAGGTAAGAGCCCGGGTGAGTGGGCGGGCAAAAACATTAGCAGACATAGAACCGGTTCTTCAGAGGTGAACAGAACCGGTAGAAACCCACCCCTGCCGGTAGCATATGAGGGAATTACAGTATAATCAACACAACTGGAGGCCATCAGATTGGTGAGGGCTTGCTTAAAAGATGGTGGGTTTTAATATTCTTTGATATCCATGTATTTCATTGAAGTCCTGATTTGTTTCATTGTTTTGAGGGTTTTTTTTCCCTACACAAAATGCTTCTAAAAGGGCTTTAGTTAAATTTTCAGGAAAGCAGCTGATTTATTTAATTGATTTAATGTCCAGGGTGGCATCACAAATCCCTCCAGTAAGAATTTATTCCTTTTCTTCAATACAGAACGCAACAGGAAAAGCACCAAGGCCAAAGAGCCTGCAGCTGGGAGAAAGCAAACTAACTCTGCTTCAGAACTCATCACTTCAACAAGCTGGAGCACTCAGTCCACCACCGATCACTCCAAAAACACCGAGAACTCAAAGTATGTTGAGCAACCTCTACTTCTTCCTATTCTTTTAAAGCAAGGGTGGGCAGTTAATTTTCCCAAGGGGCCCTATGCGGAGGGCCAAATCAATGTAACCTGATTTGTTGTCCTCAGACTCTGCCACCTCCACTCCTCAGGCTGCTCCAGGGGGGTGAGCACTGTGTGCAGAAAAGTGCTTTCTCTTCTCACCCATCAGCAGCCGCCAGCTGATTGAAGGGGCGTGCAACAATCACACAGAGCCAGACTGAACTCAATTTCTTGTCCCATGTTTTTCAAGAGGCAACTGGGCTTTCTTGTTTTTCTTTGAAGATGTTTCACTTCTCATCCAAGAAGCTTCTTCAGCTCTGACTGGGTGGTGGGGAATGGAAGGATTTATATTGCTTGCAGACAGCTGGTCATTTGCATCCTTTTCGAGAAAGGTCATTGAGGCCACTTGGAGGTTTATCTGTATCCTCGGGGTCACATGAGTACTGCAAATGGGTTTGGAGCCTCTTGGATGAGAAGTGAAATGTCTTCCAAGAAAAAACAAGATAGTCATTTTACCTCTTGAAAAAGCAACTTTGGGACAACCATGACCTGATGACCTAGAATCTCCATAGACAACTCACCTTTTTCTTCTGTTCCATGTGGCACAGTTATTTATATTTGATTTCTAATTTCTGACTGACCTCACATGGGCCTGACAAGGACAGTCAAAGGGCTGGATATGGCCTGGGGATGTATTAAATGCCCAGATCTGTGTAAAGTAGTGCCAGAAAAATTTAGTCCAGCCTTCACCAAATTGGTAGAGATACCTGCCAGAAATACCTGCCAACTTGGAATTTCATAATACCTTTTTCTTTGAAATCCTACCATCCTCCCATCCTTCCTTTTACCCATCCCCTCCCACTTGTGACTGTATGACTGTGGCCTTGTTGCTTGTATCTGTGCGATTTTTACTGACTGTTTCATAGTATGATTTGATTGCTTATTGTACCCTATGACTATCATTAAGTGTTGTACCTTATGATTCTTGACTCTGGATGTATGTATCTTTTCTTTTATGTACACTGAGAGCATTTGCACCAAGACAAATTCCTTGTGTGTCCAATCACACTTGGCCAATAAAGAATTTTATTCTATTCTATTCTCCAAATTCAACATAATTTGACCAAACTTGGTGATGGTATATAAAATGGCAGTTCTGGGGGTTTGGTTAAAAAAAAGCAAACAGTTTTGGTCATATAGGAGAGGATAAACATCTCCTGTGTGAGTAGATTACATTCATATTGGACATTTTAACACATAGACATAGATCCAAAATAGTAAGTCTTGTATGTATCTCAATGTTTCTTAAAATCTATCGGGATTTATCTGGATCCAATTCTAGCCTAGTCACGATTTCCTGAATAGGTTATAAATGAAGGCTGAATGTTTCATTTTAATTGAGATTTTATAAGATGGCTTTGCTTATTTTTGGCTGAAATTTAAAGTATGAATATTGTTTCTTTCAGAAATCTGGGGGGTTTAAGACATATATTTGTACATGCACCCATGTAGAGAAAAAACCACAGATATATATGTATACGCACACATTTTTAAATGGAAATTGGTCTTAGAACAAATTTTACACTTTTCAACAACAACAGGAAATTAGGAAAATTGGCCATGGATTCTCCAACACTGTATCTGGCCAGATCCTTTACAAAGACTGAGTGACAGATACATTCCAAATGTAATTTTTAAAAGAAACACTCATCCCAAAAGGAAACTGAAGCATGACTGGTTTATATTTTTCTGTTCCTGCTAAGGCAGTTCACCTCCAAGTTCACGAGAAGTTTGGGTGGCTTTCCTTCTCCTATCGTAAGAGAGTTCTGGAGATTGCAACAGCTAAAGTCCTATGTGAAAGCAAAGCCCTCTGAGCCTGTCTGGTGTCATTCTGGATTTTGTTTTTCCTGGTCCCCAAGCATGCATTTTTCACATGTGCTTAGATTCATTTGCTGTGTGTGGATGAAGCTTCTGCCATAACGGGGTCTGGGGAACGGCAAGTGGGATTCCAGATTGACACATCTGTTCACAATCAACCGCTAAAAGAAACAGGCATGCCCCAAAGTAATGGTGATGCAAGTATGCTTCTGTTAGAAACTGTTTTTCCCCCCACCCTAACCATGGCCACCATCTGTCTTTCTTCTCCTCTCTACCACACCAGGTTTCCCTTCCTTGCAGGCAGATGGATTAACAACCGTTAACTTGCAGAATTCTCCTCCCCCACCACCTCCCAAATGCAAGCCCTATGAGAATAACAGCTCCAGAAACTCCACAGAGGTACAGAGATGACATTTGGATCCTATTACCTGAGACAAGAGCGCCGTTACAAATATTCCCAGGGGCTTTTAAGGGTTGTACCTGGTTAGTTTTTTTTTTTTTTTTAAAGTATTTGGTTGGTTTAATGGCTCTTTCCCTGAAACTGCCAGAAGGAAAACCATTTTTTCTGCTCCCTCCCAAAATGAAAGGCGGAGGAAGATATGATGCAGGGTAGTGTAAAATTCTTCTTCTTGCTCTTGCTGGGAAGATTCACAGCTTTTTTATTCTTTTGTTTGTTTGTTTATAAATTTTGTTGCATTTTATCGTAGGGTAAAAAAATGCAGAGAAAGTAAAAGTTAGAAAACTAAAAAAAAAGAGAGAAAAGAGCAGAGGGAGGAAGGAAGGAAGGAAGGGAGGGAGAGAGAGAGAAGTGACCTCTTCTGGAATTTTTCAGTGCAGTAGTAGAATACAAATATATAATACAGCCTCAACTGTATTTTGCTTTACATTTCACAATTTTTCAAGCCATCTGTATAATAACAAAACCATTCCAATCATCAAAACCTAAAAACAAAGTTTCAGGCCCCCCCACCCCCACCCCACCCCGGCCTGGTTTGGAGCAAAAGACAGACTGGGTGTTTTAATTAAAGAGAAAAATTTTTTTATCTAGTCTTGTTTCTTTAAATCTGGAGCTTTTGCCCAGGGATCTCCCACAGTGCAAAGTCTGCCCCAGATGTCAACGACACAAAAGCCTCTTTGTGACATCCCTGGAACCAGCCAGTTGCCTTGGCACTTTATCAAATGATATCACTGGTCCTGCTCTAAGAGGTTATTGTAGGCTCCTCATTTCCTAGTCTCTGTATCACTGGAGTTGGGTTTTACTTAGGAGTCCAACTGTCTCTATGTTTGCATTATTGTAGGGGGCTCCACCTCTACCCACCAGGCGAGAAATCAAGCCACCACCACCTCCTCCTAAAACAAGGAAATCCGGTGTCCCTTCTTTAGAGCCCGAACTACAATGAGGATTCTACGTCATCTTGTCTCTTTGCATCTGGTGCTTTGTGGATGCATCTCGTTCCCCAGAGCGCCTCAGGATTGGCCTCTTCCTGCTGGACAGCTTCGCCTTCCATTCCTGCACAAAGTTTGGGGATGTGAACAAAAACCAGCTGCCAGACATTCTGGCAAAGCTGCTGCTTTGGCTTTCCTGGCTTCTGATTCCCCTACTGATGTCTCAAGACATATCTTCGGATCATCTATGGCGTATCAGGGCTTCTGCAAGGCTAAAGAAACCAATTTCTGTCACCCATCAGTCCTTGTTCCACCACTGATACAACACCAGCGGAAATTATCTCAGTGGAATGGCTCTCCTAACACCTAAGATCTTTCTCAGTCTTGAAACAGCTAGGCACCACACTGAAAACACACACTTGCCACTAGAGTGGATATGTGTGACAAATTCAAACCCAGTTTGTTGCACTTGGACAATGAGGATATAGTTTCCATCAGTCTTGATGGCCAGCAGTAGAGACCTTGGAATGGGATAAGCCTGGTATAAGAGGAAAGTTTCTTTGGCCTGCTTAGCATAAACACTCTTTGCCTATTTATTCCAAACTTGCACAAAAAAACCCCACCCAATTCCCAGGGCCTCTGTTATATACGGATTGGTATGTGACAGCCCAGAGTGTTGGACAGACCTGTAGATTCCATAATGTTAATTCCATAATTACTTTATATCTACATACTTTGCTTTTCCAGCAATATGAAGGTGGATTAAAAAAGAAAAGAAAACCAGCATCTGTCTATTCCCATAGTTGACCCTTGGAAGTCTTATGGTCTCCTCTTCTTTCAAGTGTGTGCAAACTCTATCAAATACACCACTAATTCCTTCTGTTGCTGCCACTGTTCCAAAGGTTTGCATACAGATGGAGTAGCCTATACTACTGTACCTTTGGAGAGTCGTTTAACTGAATTCTGGATGTTTTTTTTTCTTTATGCAATAATGTGTTGATAATACATAAAGGTGTAATTATCCTTGGAAATTTGAAGAATGGACTTCACATTGAAAGTGCTCCATGGTTTTCCAAACAAGAACTGATAAACCGGGGCTGGACAGCAATTTAAATGTCTTATTGAACTCTTTGTTAAAATGCAAGGGGGGCTGATAGCTGCCCATTGAATTCTAGATTCTTACTGTATCTCCCTTTGTATGTTTTATTATTAAATGCTGCCTCTGTGTTTACTTGTTTATAACAGAAACTCAGGGCTCAGCCCCCATGGGACTCAAATTTATCTCAGAGATAGTTCACGTAATTGGATTATGGTATCTCTGTCTATCTTCAGTTATGGACTGAAATTATGGGCTAGATTCACATATCACATAATGCCATGCTTTGCTTTAACAATTATTTCCAAATCATTATGTTTGACCGCATAAGAGGTTTAGCCAAATACCTACTCATTGTATTATGGCTTAGCATGGTGCATGTACCCAGCTATAAGGTAGATATTTATTCACAGCGTAAATGCATTGCACAAGACCATTCTTCTAAGGGTGGGTAGTTGGGCATCCTTGCCCACAGATTATGATTTGATTGTATTGATCGTTGCTGAATGGCCACTTATCCAAGTGCTTCAGAAGATGTTCATTCACATTAACCCTTAAGGTTGCATCATGCCTTCAAAGTAGAAAGTTTATAGTCTGATTTTTTTTAAAAAGAATTTAGATTAGAACATCTATGATGGGGGGCACTCCTGAGAGGCATAGCACTGCTGAAACAGAGTCTTTGAATTAGCAGACTACAGCTGTACAGATTAGCCTGTGGATTAACATGATAGGGTGGATCCAAACTACGTAATTGACATACAAGAGAAAGGATGCATTTATAGAGAAATGCACGACTCTGCTTGTCATTCCTCAAACTTATGCACTGTCTGTTAAAAGAAACCACCAGCAGAAATTTAATGTGCACAGTGGTAAAGCTAACTTTGTTTACTGAACCCAACGTTTTGTATATATCTTAACAGCATCTCAGTAATTCAGGTGTACCTGCCTTAGGCAAAATGTCTAGCCAGAAAGCTGAAGTTCACATTTTAATGTTGTACATAGTTCTTTTCTTCTTTAGAAGCCTCTGTCTCATCTTATTAGTTCTACTTTTATTTTGACCATCATTGCACTCTGAACATTTTCTACTATTTCTTATCATTCCAGGTTGATAAAGACTCTGGTGTATGCAGTTAAAAGATTTTTTGCTTTTATGATGAGCAACGCTCATAATTATTAAGCCTCTCTTGGCCAATGTTCCAACTAGAAGCCTCACAGGCATTGATTCAAGAATACAGTTCTTTGTGAGGATGTTTATTGCAAGACTAAGAAATCCCTTATTCGGGCAACTGTTAAGAGTAAGAATCAAACTCTATTTATAGTATAAGCAAGGTTCTGGAATGACTCTGTCTCCCTTCTCCCAACAATGCAGCCGATGGGAGGCAAAGTCATTGAATTAAAGCTGTTGAAATTTGTTTGTCTGAATGCCAAAAGTTTAACATTATTGTGTGGGTCCAAACTGTTTAATTGGCCAATACAGAGGAGAGAAAAGCATTCAAAAGAAACTAGAAGCTTGTTTGGCTTGTTCACAAAGCAGCTGTCCTTCAGAGATAAAACACACACTTTGCCTGTATATGGTCAGAGATTCAATTTTGTAGAAGAATAGAGAATACTCCTGAAAGACAGAAAGAAGGGCCCCTACCAAGGCAATAGTGAGATAAGGACCTTGAGCCTTAGTTCAGACCAAGTGAGGTGGGGGATACGTTGCAAGATTCTGTTACTATAGCTGTGATGTTTAAAAGTATTCTTGACATCCATGGCATTGATTTCTTTGTTTTATCTACGTTGTTATCCTGGCGTAATTCTGAATGAATTATTGATCTCCATGATGAAGTACTGGAAAAACACAACTCCCCAAGTCCTAGCCATAAGCTTAGTGGCAAATTTGCAAGTTACCAAGTTCAACTTCTGG